TCCAACTATTAATCTTCTTAGTCTCTCAATCTATTATAAGGTTATGTTTAGCAAGCCAAGGAAATCCTAAAATTATCGGAAAGGATGGGGATGTAATCTGTTGTAAGATTATCATTTCTCGGTGTAGGAATCCTACGATCATCAAAAAAGGTATAGTTTCCTTTGTGATCACAGAACTGCTAGGTGGTCTACCATCTATGTCCTCTATGGCCAAGGGTGTGGATCTTTCTCTTAAAGGGAGAAAATAAGACTTAGCAAAGGCAGCATCAACAATGTTTTCTGCAGCCCCAGAATTCATAAGGGCATGTCCTGTTCTCCCACTTTAAGGTTATAGGGAGTAGAAGCCTGAGTTATTTTCTGGGTTCGAAGGAGGACATATGCAATACACCCAAGGCCTGTCCTCCAAGAGGGCTTAGGTGCAGAGGTTTTCCGGCCTACTGGGACATGATAAACGTAAATGCGCCTTCTTCCCATAGTACAGACAAAGACCCTCTTTTCTCCTATAGGACTTCTCAGCTTCAGATAACCTAGTGAGTCCTAACTGAATGGGATCCTTGTTTCATCTTAAGAAGAGTTTTGGCTCCATTTGCTCGTTCTTCTTGGGGCATTGTAACGGCACCCCGGGCATAAAAGGGGTTAAAGTCGTTTAGGAGATATTCCCTTTCCAGATACAAAGGCAGCTACCGAATACACCAATCCGACGAACAGGAAAAACCATACGAAAGGTTTATACTCCAAACAGCCGAACAGGATAACCATACGAATAATCCCCCAGTACGAGAAGAGGCTCTGTATTGAGGGTCAAGCAGGAATCAGTTTAATGGAAGCAAGCACTCACAATTTATTCAATTCCTCAGGCCAGAGGCACACCCCCTGGACCTGATGGTACACAGGCACACAAAGGACACAAACCAATCAAAACAATACAAAAATGTCTGACACTCCCATTCATTACAGCAAAATCCTCCCCTCTGCCTGTGATATAATTACTGAACACAGTGGGCTAACGTGATTATCACAGGCAGGAAAATATACAGTTTTACACAATATTTGTATATTTAAAAGTATACATCACATTCACATAAAACTTACATATTCTGAACCAAAATACACAGTATACAAACATATGTCAAAATCATACAAATTGGTCCAGTGGTTCAAAAGTTATATGGAAGTCCTTTGTGACCAACTGCAAGCATGGCTTTCCAGCCCAAACCAGTTCCACAGAGTTAGGCTGTGCAGCCAATCTATCTTCTCCTCTATCCTGGAGATAATTGGCTTAACTGGGAGTGGTAAGCCAACTATCTCCAGGTACAGAAAATATCTCTATTCGCAACAACAGCAAAAATACATAACTCCTGTCATACTGAATAGAACCCCCACATTCAACCTATCCCCAGATAGCTTGGATCTGAGCGCTCAATATATCCGAACAGCACTCAGATACCACAAACACAGTCAAATTACCATGGGGTTAAAGTTTAGCACGGGCTGAGGAGGGACAAAGCAGCCAGTCTAATTTAAAGGGCCAGAACAATCTTTTAAACATCAATACGTCCAAATAGTGTTTTTAACTGGCAAAGTCTCCCAGGGACCATAGTCACATGGCAAGAGGCTGGCAATTAGTCTTCTCCAGGACCCAGTGGTGAGGTTAGTTTCGCCACAGGGATCAAAGGTTCGTCTGGATGCAGCCACAAACTCAGCATAGTTGTATACCAAGGGGTTGTTATTTTCCCATAAAGGGTTTGCCCATATCAATGCCCTATTTACAAGTAGGTTGATCATAAAACCCACTCTAGCCCTTTCGGTGGGATAGGCCCTGGGTTGTATGTTGACTTGGTTTAAAAACCCTTTTTCCATACCAGAAATGGCGGGATATCCAGTTATATGTACAGTGGCTTTTCAGGCGGTTCGTTCAGGGATAGGAGGTTCGTTTTTGTTGCATGCCGATGGCTCTGCGTTGTCTAAATTTCAGTTCCTTAGGGTTCTTCGGTTGACCTTGGGGCATTTGGGCTTGGGTCTGTTACGGTTCGGTACACATCCGTTCAGCATTGGGGCTGGAACGGAGGCATCTTGGTTGGGTTTGGGGGATGAACTGATCAAGAAGATCGGGAGGTGGGAATCGGTGAGATTCAGGTCATATGTGAGGCCCAACCATTTGGTATAAGTTTGATTAAACTGGTTATGTTTGTTCTCTGTTGGTAATGTGTTTTTCTTTCGCAGGTTGGATTGGGTGGGTAATGGGATACTCATATATGTACTGGGCACAACGGAGAGCTGCAGTTTGTCGTCAAGGCATAAAGCTGGGCTTTCCATGCTCAATGGTGCAGTTGGAGTGGTTTGGTTTTAGGGGGTTCAGTTGGCAAGGGGTTTGCTTTGAGCTATTCTAAGTCTGTTAATGCAGGATTAGTGAGCGTTCAGTGCTTAACATTGTTTTGTTTCATGCTGGGGGGAATGACTTAGGTGTGGTTTGGCAGAGGGCTTTGCTCACTGGGATGAAAAAGGATTTGGATAGGTTGAGGCAGTTGGTCCCTGACGTGGTTGTCATATTGTCGGAGATTGTACCGTGATTGCAATGGCGCCATGCTATGGACCACTAGGCAGTAGCAAAAAGTAGGGGGAAGTTGAATAAAATAATGGCAACTTATGTTAGCTGCTTGGGGGGGTGGTTTGGGAGTTGGAAGCTCAGTTGGCAGGTTATTACAGGCAGGATGGGGTACATCTATCGGAGGTGGGTACGGATTTCTTGTTGTTAGGGTTTCAGGAAGGATTACACAGAGCGTTGTTTTTTTGTGGGGGCGCTCAGGTAGATCTAGGTGTCAAGCTTTAAGCTATGGCAGGGGATGGATAGAGAAGTTGGGGTGTAGGTTGTTTTTCCGGATGTAAAATAGTTTAGTTTGCTAAGAACAGTTAGGTTTGGAAGAGTATTGGTAGGTTCAAGCTCGTTGATAGCTCCGAACTGTGTGTGTGTAGGGTGTATCTCGGTATGCCCCTACATGGAAGAAAGCTGGAAATCATGCCCTCGGTGGCAATGGTTATGTTTATATGTTAATTTTATGTTATAATGTGGTTTTACGTATTGTAATGTGGGTCATTGTCTGGGGTAGTATTGTTAAAGGAGTTGGGGGTGATATGTTATGCTAATATGGGACAATGAGCTTAAAAAATATTTTAAGTATTATTTATATATTATTAAAGCTGTGATAATTTTCCCAAATAAAGATGTCCGAGTATTTGTGGGGGGTGGGGGGAGGAGGGTTTGGGTTTGTTATGCATATGCCGGAAAGGCGACTATGCATATGTCATGCAGTATGAAGTCTAAAACATGATTTCTATCTGCTCATTTACATGTCAAGTTGTGAACTCTGTTATAGTTGTGGAAACATGATTTCTCAGATTTCTTCAACAAGTCCAACTTGAGATATAGAGGTGATGCATTACAGTAATTTATATAAACTGGGCTAGATTTATTTAATAACTGCTGATTTATTTAAAAGATCAAGTATGTGATAATGACATGAGGATAATTTATTAAAGGATCACTATAGGGTCAGGAACACAAACATGTATTCCTGACCCTATTGTGCTAAAGTCACCATATAGGTGGCTTGCCCCCCCCCCCTTCCCCTCCCCCCATTAGCCCTCCTATAAACTTAACTTATTTCCAGCGCCATGCGGGTCTCCCCCCCTTTGTGACATCATCAAAATGGGCGAGTTTTGTAGCCAATCCAATTCGCATAGGGAAAGCATTGGATTGGCTAAAATCGGCACAGGGGCAGGGCCAAATGCCATTTTGGCCAATCAGGACCTCCTCATAGAGATGCATTGAATCAATGCATCTCTATAAGGAAAATTCAGCGTCTCCATGCACAACGTGGGGACGCCAAACGGCAGGGCTGCTTGCTGTGCAACCCTGAGCCAGGAAGACCCTCCAGTGGCCATCTAAGTAGTGGCCACATGAAGGTGTACTTAAAGGACCACTCTAGGCACCCAGACCACTTCAGCTTAATGAAGTGGTCTGGGTGCCAGGTCCAGCTAGGGTTAACCCATTTTTTAATAAACATAGCAGTTTCAGAGAAACTGAAACTAATCCTCTAATCCTCTAGTGGCTGTCTCATTGACAGCCACTAGAGGCGCTTGCGTGCTTCTCACTGTGATTTTCACAGTGAGAGCACGCCAGCGTCCATAGGAAAGCATTGTAAATGCTTCTCTATGTGACCGGCTGAATGCGCGCGCAGCTTTTGCCGCGTGTGCGCATTCAGCCGACGGGGCGGAACGGAGGCGGAGAGAAGGAGGAGAGCTCTCCGCCCAGCGCTGGAAAAAGGCAAGTTTAAACCCCTTTCACCCTTCCAGAGCGGGGCAGGAGGGGGACCCTGAGGGTGGGGGCACCCTTAGGGCACTATAGTGCCAGGAAAACGAGTATGTTTTCCTGGCACTATAGTGGTCCTTTAAGGACAATGTGAACACTGCCTTTTCTCTGAAAAGGGAGTGTTTACATGAAAATACCTGAAGGGAGCTATTATACTCACCAGAACAACAACATTAAGCTGTAGTTGTTTTGGTAACTACATTGTCCCTTTAAGCTCTGAATGTACCACGTTTGTTTTTTCATTCAGATGTCCAATAAAAGGCAATTAAGATGGAGAGAGATTAAAACTACATGTGCCAATTAGAATTATCTGTTAAAACATAAACCCAAAAATATCCAAGCATCATGTAAAAGTAGGAACTTAACACCAAATTTCATTTGAATTCTGACTTTTGCAATTAAGGGTACACAAGGAGATTTTAGCTTTATTTCAATTCAGATGCAAAAAGCAGGCAATTTGCAATAAGTAAGAATCTAGAAAAACCCTAGTCTTTTGATGTGTAGGGTCTCCAGCAATAGTTAACAAGATATAGCTTACATGTAAGATATCAGGACATGCAAAGAACCAAAGGAAGCATGAAAAACAGATTCTAAAATAGAATTATATATACAGTGCATAAAAATGCAATAGCACCCTCTTGTGATTCACTTTAGAAATGATTCATTTCTTGTGTAAAAATAATCTAATTGTTTACTAGTAATGTGTATAAACTAGTAAATTATTTGCAAGGATATATAAACTCTATTAATTTGGATAGTATAATCTTGCAAGAATGCATTTTTAATGTGCTGCCCATCAACATAAATAATTCATATATGTTCAGGAAAACCTGTTTGATCAGGCAGGCATGCAGTAGAGCATACAACTGAGTGGTTGTCGAGAAACATGCTTTTCGGGAGTCTCTAAAACTATGCAGTCTGATTGGGGACATTCAAATAGGCTTATTTAAAACAATAGTAATGATTAATAATTGTATGCCAAAAATTCTGAAGGACAAATTTTGTTTGCTACAGAATACAGAAGAAATGACTGTTTATATCCAATTACAATAGAAGTGGAAGTAGGCAAAGTAAACAAAATAACAAAATTAAAATGTAAAAAAATGGTATGCTATAAATTAAAAATTGTTAACCTTTATCTCACCCAGGATATACCTGAAAATGAGTATCAATGTATCCATCCTGGTAAAATATTTTATAAATTAATAAATAAATCTCATGAAGCCAGAGAACATGCATGACTATGTAAAAATAACTAGACACAGCAATTCTTCCTTCTTCATTAGCCAGAGACAGAGGCGTAACTAGAAACCACGGGGCCCCGGTGCGAAAATTTCCCTGGGGCCCCCCCATACATCTATCTCCTACCCCACACATGTAGACAAACACATGCAAACACATACATACACACACACAGATACCCTTATATACAGACATGCATACAGACACATGTAGAGACACACACACCTACACTCATATACACAAACTCAGACATATACACACACATAAACTCACAGACACACTCAAACACACACACACACACACTCACAAACACATACACACACACACACTAAGACAGACACACATACACTTACAGACACACACAATTACAGACACGTACACTCAGACACACATACACTTACATACACACACACACTGAGACACACATACACACAATTACAGACACGTACACTCAGACACACATACACTTACAGACACACACACTCACAGACAAACACATACACACACACACTTACATACACATTCAGACACACACACACAAATTATTAATAATTAATGTCCACCCAGCCTCCCTACCTAGAGAGCTGGTGTGGACCTCTCCCTGGGATCCAGTGGGGCTTCAGTGCGGCGAGAGGCAGAGTTCCTGTCAGATGCTGCTAGGGAGCTGTGTTCTCCCTGCTCTGCTTCCTCGCGGGCTGTCTACTGATGCCGGGAGCCAGAATGTGAGGTCATATTCCAGCTCCCGGCACATGAGGGAGCAGAGCAGAGAGAACACAACTCCCTTGCCGCGTCTGACAGGAAATCTGCCGCATGCCAGGGGTGTCCACTAGGTGTCCAGTAGGCCACATCTTGGGCCCCCCTATGACTGGGGGAACTTGGAGGGGGTGGCATCTAGGCAGCCCACCATCACAGGGGTTGTGGCTGCGGCCGGGCCCCCTGCAGTGAGGGGCCTGGTTGCTGCCGCAACCCCTGCGACCATGGTAGGTACACCACTGGCTAGAGATATACAGAGAGTATTTGATTTAAATATCATGTTTTTTCATGGTTACACAACATCCAACATTGGGAAATGTAAATATGGGAAGAGCCACAATACTGTAAGTCAGGGCAAAAAAAGTGGTGTACATGACAAAAAGAGAGCAAGCTGCCTTAAAGGGACACTATAGGCACCCAGACTACTTCTCCTCATTGAAGGAGTCTCGGTGCACTGTCCAAGGTCTCTTAAGCCTGCAAAAATAATTATTGCCATTTTAAATTTAAAAAAAAAAAAATATACAAATCAGTAAAACAATTCTAAATTAGTAAATCAAAGTGGATGTAAGAGGCACTAATGGAATCAGCCAGAGTAGCTTTTTTTTCTCAATTCATATCCAAAAATCACCCAGATCAGTTCAGGGGTTCAGGAATTTCCTAGAAGTCATAGTTTTGACCGACCGCACGCATGGCCACATGCCCAACACAGTTCCACAGAATCGCGTCTAAGTGCTGCTGGGGGACCGACCGGGGAACCACTAAGTTTTCATGCCAAAATTAGTTCCAGGGCATTCACGGCTAAGTCCCCCTGAAGTCTATTCGCGGTTTTGGTCCACGCGAACGGCCGCAAGTGAGGTAGCGTTCAGTTCTATGGAAATTGCCAAACCAGTGGAACCAGGGGAATAAAATATGGGTCTTTATAGCTGCTGACCTGGCACATAGTCCTGAGGTCAGAGGCTAGCCAGCAGGCCCCTTCAAGAACACGTGACGAAGCTCAGTTCGTCACAGTGGCGATCCTTCATCTCGTTTCTGTTAATATTCTGTATGTCAATTACTTCTCAAGTAATTCTACAATCGTAAAGAGCTGCAGAATAGGTTGCTACTATATACATTCTAATAGTAATAAAAATGACTAGTTCCATTCATGAACAAGCATTAATGGAGCGGTTCAGCAGTTGATAGAAGTTGTGCTTGTACAGTTGAGCTACACTTGATAAGGCAAAACACATTGTGGATACATGTGAAGCTTCTGATTAATAGTCTGCATTTTATTTGAATAAACTCTAGTAGTGTTTTTATTTTCCATCTAGTGGTTTTATTATTTGTTTCAGGCTGTACTGGAGGATCACTATCTGGACTGTGGATACAAGCCTCCCAGTGGGTATTATATCACCTTTCCTGATCATATTAAACAAATCCATTGCTCCAAAATACTTAAGTAAGTTTTCACATTTCACCATGATTATATCTATCTCTATATATCAAGAAAGTTATAACTGCAAATTTGAGATTCCTGTGGAAAAGAAACACTTACGGCTTGACAGGTGTGCAGATATGTGTTTAACAATATATTGACTACCTACTGACTTCAGGTGAAAGGGGTTTTCAATCAGATTTTTTCCCCCACTCTAAATTTCTTGGTTTAGGACTGTGCTATTCTGTTATAACCTACTGTTGAATATGAGTCTCAGAAAAAATTGAAGAAATGTGTTTTGCCTGCTCACTTTCTTTCAAAATGGTACATATATTACCAATTCTCCAAGGGTATGCAAACTTTTGAGCACAACAGTATATACATACACACACCTATATATTTTCTGTTTATATTTTTTATGTGAACAACATCCTGGATGGAGTCATCACGGCGCTATCCTTAAGCAGAGATTGTACCGCCGTTCGCAATATATCCTGAACTTGGCAAAGCTCTTTGTAAGCTTTTCCTACTTCCTCTATATACATATCAGTTGTATCTATAGTTTTATAGCATCATATCTGTAGGCGGGGTTTTCTACAGCTGCATGCCATTTTGCTAGAGCTAGCACAATCACAACTGAGTGGCCATTTTTTCTGTTGAATTTATCATGTACAATGCCAAAACCTACCACACTATTGGGTCTGTTTGTGTCTCTTCCCTTTCTTTACATATTACTGCTGAGGACTTCATTTATAAGGAGATCAAGACCATTTTGATGTGCATACAAAATCAACAGGTAATAGAGTCAAGCTATCTACAAAAAGGTGACATCATAAACGCACTTTCCATTCCTCTAGTTTACGTGACAAACACTGTTTAGCTATGTTTCCATGGACCCTAGCATGCAAAACAGGTTTGACATTCTAAAACAGCGAGCAAATGACAGTATTTGGAATACCATATAATGCGTATTTCAAATGCCTTTTTTTAATCTTTAGAATTGCCTAAAATTCCTTTAACAGAAAGTATAAAAGTTATACAAAGGTGAAATTAGATGTAATAATTATTACATTGTAAAATATAATTACAAAGTGGGAAAAAAAAACTATTTGTCACAACATCAATGTAAAAACATACATGTACAAAATAAATTGAAACTTATTTAACAGTTTATTTTACTTTTGTGGATTTTCACAGTTTCAATACATTTTACATACAATGAGTAATGTGTGTTCAGTCTACTAATAAATATAAATTTTTACGACTTACGGACATGCATATACAGAATGGATATAAAGCAATGAAACAGCACACCATTTGTAGCATTCTTACAACTAGAGAAGGGAAGATCCTGAAAAAAAACAACCCAACAACCAAAAATAAATTAAAAAAAAAAAAACAGGTTTCCCAAAGCTGTGTGGAATATGTTCTTAACCTCCAATATTGTTTATAAACGTAAAACATGAGAGACTGAGATTTTATGTAAAGTCTTACATTGTTGGAATTACTATACTCTGAAGCACATGTGCTGATGTCTTCATGAAAGTCAAAAGTGAAACTGCAGGAAGCGCCTTTAGTGGCTATCAGGTATACAACTACTAGAGGCAGGCTTAACACTGCAATGTAAACATTGCAAAACTGCAATGTTTTACATTGCGAAGTTAAGGGACCAGGAACACTGAACTAACTGCATTTTAATGAGATGAAGTGGTCTGGATGCTTATAGTGTCCCTTGAGATGTTTCTGTCCCCCCAGTTAAGCCTTAATTGGAAGGTAAAGATTTAAATTTCTTTGCATTCAGAAAACGTAACCATAATCTAACTGCATTAGTTTATCTTCATAACCTTCATATAGATGATGAGATTGATTTGGGCAATTGTGATTGGTCGAGATTCTAAAAATTAGCCTTGAAAAGGCAACGTTGTCAATACAACAGAGCACATCCACTTAAAATTATATCTGTCAAAAAATAATTTAGAATGAAAGAAAGGTGCTTTCTAACCGTATTGGTATGTAGCTATGCAAACCAAGAGGCAACAAATTATATATTCCCAAACAGGTGGCTGCTAACGAGACTTCTGACTGCTATTGGCCGTCCAACCAGATTTCTCACAGGGAAGAATTGCCATAATGTGCCTTCTCATGAATGGCATTTTAATAAAAACAGGACTAAGGGTCACTTCCAGGAGTGTCTCTTTAGTAGAAAGGAGTGCTTTATTTCTAGATAAACTGAAGGAGGCTTAGAGCACACAAAATAATGTAGTTTTGCTATGTTGATTGTTCAATATTTGCGGGGAGGGAGGTAAAAGATGGAGTTTCCTGTTCTCATGTACTGGCAAAACAGGTCCTTGTAGTTTGCATGTTTTCACAACATATCTAGACAAAAAATGTGTATTATTTAATGAATAAGCTGATTTTAAGCATACAACTTTTATATATACACTGCATAGTGTGACAAAATGACTTTCAATTTGTAAGATTATTTAACTGTATTTCTATTTTTCTTGAAAAGAAGAAAATAAATAAAACAACCAGGAAAAAAAAAACTGCTTTTTTTTTTCTCATAGCTTAAAAATGTTCTGAAATTGTTCTATTTACAACCTAAGGCAGACAGGTTGGCAAGTTGATGTTTTCCCAGACCCATGCAGTGATAAAGCAAGTCGCTGGGGCAAATGGCAACGATTTAAAAACATATGGTTGCTTTTGTATAAGTTAAGACACTTTTCAACTGAAAAAGCAGGCATTCATTAAGTAGAGTCTGAGATAAGTTTTTTTTGTTTGTGTTTTTAACAAATCAATGGTCACAACTGAGATAGTATTTTTTTTTTTTTACAAAGCACAAAAAGTAACTTAATATAAAATTAAAAATGTGTCTGTAAAAGTTAATTCCATGCTGACATCACAAGGACATCTGAAAAACCAAAGCCAAGCATTTCATGAAAAGCAAAAGTTCTGAACAAACTCTTACAAAAAAAACCAAAAAACACTTGTACAATTTTAAAATTAGGGAATACTGTCACGCCACAAAATGGCGACTAAAATGAACAGGCACAAATAGAACAGTTATGCACTGTGCAAACCGTGGTTTACTATTTATCTGTAAATGCTAAAAGGAACTTGTGCATAACAAAAGCAAACAATTTTATGAACAGATTTAGAATTACTGTACATTTTTTTTTTTTAATCCTGAAATATTCTTAGCTTTAACGTTCAAAACTCTTTTTAATCCTTGAGATCTGTGCACTACGGTCACTTGTGTTAAATGGTTAACTTCTGTGTTCAAGCACTTTTTCAAAACCTTTATTTTTCTCCACTTTGAAATTATCAAAACCACATTTATTTTAGGAATGTAAAATAAAAATATCGAACCAAAGTTAGATAAACAGAAAAATACCGAACCTTTACTGAATACCAGACAATATTTGAATATGTGATTTCTGCCACAGGAAATTACCAAGCATTTAGACCTCACATTCTTCTATCCAAGATATGTGAAACACAATAAGTATTTTGTCTTAAATTTGGAATATATGAAAATGATTTCCAGTGGGAATTTTTTTTTTTTTTTTTTTAATGCTACTGAAAAGGATCCAGAATACTCCAAATTACATTCTAATGGGTCTATCAAACACTATTCTGTATTGTAAATTTTATTTAAAGAAAGTAAAAATACATATATATGGGGGGGGGGACGAGGCCGTTCCGCCATGCTGATCGGTCGCATGCAGGAGGGACTCCTGCAGGGATCGACCTTTTAAGATGTATCCAGCGGCTCACAGACTTCCTCTGAGCCGGAAACATATGGCATATTCCGCAGGGGGTGCTTGTGAAGTGGCAGACTCAGAGATCGAGAGTTTCTGAGCCCCTGGGTGAGACACAGAGCTTCAGAGCCTGCGGCCTACACGGGAGAGGAGCTGGGCAGACGGTCGCTGCTAGGCTCTTATCTCCAGCTCTCACACAGCAGCACTCAGTCACTTCACCTGGTCCTTTCTCTCCCCCTCACCCCCTTTGAACCAGTGGGGGTCATTACAGTTACCACTGGAGGGCTCCGACACGACAAGAAGTAGAAAGTCAAGCTTACCTATCAATCAGATTCCTGTGCCTAACTATCAAACAGCCACCCACAACTGAAACCATCTACGCAGATTTGCCTACAGGCTGAAACACCCAAGACGATGCTGGAGAGCCTTTGATCCCAATACCAGGCCATACTACTGAGGCAGAAGAACCTCACTTCATCACCCAGTACCCTGGGAAACCATCCTCTCCAGGGACTCTGATGTTGACTCACAGGAGAGCAAGACCCGAGGACACAAAACATGGACTCAAGCTGCAGCCTGAGGCTGGCAGTAAGGAAGATACCGGGACTGCAGTTATGCTAGGACTTTGTCACATGAATCTGTAGTAAGAGTAGGCCACAGTGCCATGCCTAATCCTAGAACAATATTGTTAATTGATAGATCAAGGAGGGAATGAATCTGTTTCTTCATGTATTATCTTTTTTTTTGTAAAAAGAAAAAAAAGAAAAAAAAGGAAAGAGTGCAGTATAACCTGACATTTAATATTTAAATCTTGTTCTCATGCCTCATGTTATGTATATACATTAATGCATGTCCTTAACTCTGCACCTCAAAAATAAAGAATTAAAAAAAAAAAAAACACAAAAAAACCCCATACATGTATTAAATAGAAACTTTAGCAAATCTCTTGCTCAAGTGTAACTAAACATACTGTGAAAGTAATAAAAATGTGATCTATAAAAAGTATTATAGAATTAGGACTTAAATATTGTAAAAATAACATTAAATACAAAAAAAGAATTCTGGAAAGGTACAATGAAATAGTCCCCCACCTGGCCTTGATTGTGTGCGGGCATACACACACACAACGTTGATATTAATAATTTCATTACATGATATTTTAATCAGGGAAAGGTGCTGTTTGGCACCACCATCATCATCATCTGACAGTGGACTTAATTTTTCTTTCTGTTCCCACTCCTTGTTAAAAACAACCATGGCACTGGGTAGTCTACAAGAGATATTTAGCATTTGTATTGCCTTTTCAGTGCAGATGGTTAGAGAACAGAAGGGGGAAAAATAACTCTCTGTACACTAAATTCCCAAAGTTGCAGCAGGCACAAAGCCACAAGGTTCTTTGGTACTGACAGGTCAGTCTAATGTAGTTATGCAACTGAATTATTACTGAATAAATTTGTGATTTTCACCTTTATACACTTTTAGGCCACAATACATTTATGCATTACCTCCGCTAACTATTTTTGAGTCTTTCTAGACAAGCAAGTCTACAAAACTTCACATGGGCTGTACAATTTAAATCAATCATTTAATTTTCATAAACACCAGAATTAAAGTATAGCATGGTTATACAGACAAATTTAAGGAACTGCCTGTAGATTTTTTTTTTTTTACCACCCCAGCTTTTAACCCCTTAATTTCATAAATAAAACCACTGTATTCACTAGAACAAGTTCATCTTATTGATGTATGTGTAGTACCTACAGTAGTTCCTTGGAATTGCCACTAAAATGTTTTATTTTAATAGCTGGAAGAATGGCTTCAAGCCATGCCTCCAAACCCTCTGGTTGCTAGTTCGCATACACAGGTATACTGTGACGTCACATGTTCACACACAGTGCCATCATGGCTGGTCATAGAAAATCATTGCATTCAATGATTACCTATGACAAACTCATTGGCAGATCGCGACATGCCTTCACGATGAGGGGCAGTCTTTCATGGTGCTGCAGAGAAGAGGAGTAAAATCATTTTTGTTAAAACAACAGTGCACACACAGTGAGGGAGCCTGCAATTAGCTAGGGACAGGGTGAATTTATCGTTAAGAATACAGATTTATGTTCCTAATACCCCTTTAAATTTGAAATGGGGCTTAAAAAAAAAATAACTTATTAGCCAGTGGAAAATATTAGTATTTTTAAATATAATGTTAATTTAAATATATTACAAATTAAAATGAGTAAATTACATTGAGTTGAATGTATTCCCATCCAGATTCAGTAAAAATTATCTTTGATTGGAAAATTTTTGATCAAATCAGTCACTGCCTCGTGTCTCTCTCACATCATTATGACTCAATTGTAGTATATTTGTTTCATACCAATATAGCATTGACAAATAACATTCAAGATTACCTTTAAAGACAAGCATCATCAAATTAAATGTACAGTGTTGTGACACTAAAGAAACAATTAGATGAACCCTCCCTGACTATGGGACACTTCATTTAATTTCAGATCTTAACCTCCCTTTAAATCATGCTTAATTTATACATGAACAATTTATTTTCTTTAAAATACATTAATGCATAGCAAATACATTCACACTTTTATCAAGGCACTTGTATAGTTTGTTCAGTAACTATCAACACTACTTCATATGTCTGAAGAATAAAAAAAAAAAAGAAAATCACAAAGAAAAAAATACCACAACCATAAAACTGACTGATGCACTTTGCCACAATGGTGTGTCCAAAGGTTAACGAAAATGATGGCAAAACTGTAATTCCAGATGATGTAGGGCACAACGCATAGAAAAGTTTTGTTTTGGGAAAGTCTGTAGTAGTTTTCCACATTCATAATAATTTCCAGTTACATACTGCCATTGGTCCACAAAAACATTCAGTGGTAGTTAAGTTCCATTGGAAAATGGGTTTAATACTTTTTACCGATATCGAGATCAGAGTCTTATAAAATTTTAATTGCATAAAAACAGAAAAGCTTGAGCATTTTTTAAAGTCAAGATTGCAAATGGTGCATGAAATGCATTTGGTTGTTTGTAGAGCCTTTTCATGCAGCATAGCACAATTTTTGCAACCATTTCAAATAACTTTTTCATGTGTTGAAGAGGTAAATAATGATAAAAATACAACGTAATATAGGTCTCTCCCTGTCATGCAAACCTCATGAACGTACGAGCGACCGGTGACAGTAAAACCTGCCTACTCATTCGTGAAAGTCTCAGTCCAGTCATTGTGGACATTATGTTCACTACAGAATAAACTCAAGAAGCTGTTCTTCTCCGAGAAGGTCCAAAGATAGGCAATTCATGGATCGCTTTCCAAATAAAGCAGATTTCATCTTGCAATCTGCAGTGGTGTATGTGCATCCATAGTCAATCATCTTTTCCTCAATTGAGCACCCAAAAGTGTAACTTTGAGACGTGTCAGATGTTAGAGTGGAAGTATTAAAAAGAGGATGAGTCTGCTGGTAAATGCGAACATCGTCTAAACTTTGACTGTATCGATCTGTGGAATTCCTTGGTTTTGACATTTTGACCTATAATAAAGACCGCAAGAAAAAAAAAAATATTTCTGATTATTTATTAAAAAAAAAAAATTCAATCATCTTTAGATGTTTTTTTTTTATACTGAAATTACTATTAAAAACCAGTAATGAATCTAACATCCCAGGCTTAGAACTGTATTTCTTGTAATCAGTTGCCATGGTTTCCAACTGTTAGCGTGCCTTGAGCTTCAGGTCTACTGTACAACCAGCAATAGTCCTCCATCAAAACTTTTATTTTGTTAAACTGAAAAAAAAAATAAAAAGCAGTACCTGGTCAAGGGAATCCACACTCTGCCCTCTCATCTTCACTGGAGCATTTGTCGAAAAAACTAATTGTTCAAAATCTGTGGGGGAAAAAAACATGAAACTTAAAAAAAATAAAATAAATAGAGAGCAGTATTACTTAAATATTACACATATGTAGAGCATTGAATGAGAACCTAAAACGTCCTATCTTCATTAGTTGACCCCTTGAGTGTCTAGTTGACCGTGGACAACCATGAATTTCTACTTTGGCCAAAATGATTTAAAGAATATATATAACTAATAGTGGATTTGCCTCAATTTAATATTTTTGGCTGAGCTTTTCAAATGATTTAATGCTTTTGGGTAAACTCATAAAATTAGAAATCCTCCTCTAGTGGCTGTCATATTGAGGGAACAAGTTAGAACTACTGAAACATACTTTCTAAACTTATTTTTTACTGTTGACTAAATGACAGTGGAGTCACTAACAAAATGATATCTCTCATAGTAAACCTGAAAATACGCAACTAATCTAAATAAAAGACTGTGTAATCATTTCATGGTTACAGTGTGGCTTAACAGTATGACATCAACAAATAATTGAAGTTAAAGGACTACTACAGTGCAAGGAAAACAGCCCCCACCTCCCCTCCCGCTGGGCTGAAGGGTTTAAAACCCCTTCAGCCGCTTGCCTTTCTCCAGTGCCAGGCTCCCTCTGTACTGGGAAACTCAACACCCCCTGCCGACGTCAGATCCAAATGCGCATGCGCAGCAAGAGCCACGCACGCATTCAAACCGCCCATAGGAAAGCATTACTCAATGCTTTCCTATGGATGTCCAGCGTCACGGAAGCGCCTCTAGCACCTGTCAGTGAGACAGCCACTAGAGACTGGATTAACCCTCAGTGAAACATAGCAGTGTCTCTGAAACTGCTATGTTTTTAACTGCAGGGTTAAACTAGAGGGATCTGGCACCCAGATCACTTCATTGAGCTGAAGTGGTCTGGGTGCCTATAGTGGTCCTTTAAGTATATACAAGAACACAATAAATTATCTTGTTGCCAAAGAGCAATGTTAAATATACAGAAGTATATTAAGTCTTAATAATGATAGGTTTGTCCCCACCTTGTAAGTAATGACCATCTGAGCCTGGAGAATCTACAGACTCTTCTTTGGAATCCAAACCAGGTGTATCAATTTTTAAAGGGTCTTCAATGGGGGCATACTCTGGCTCATCTACTGTCAGTTCTACCTCAACGAAAAGAAAGAAAATAAATTTAATTTTAAAGAGGGTGGTGCAGAGTTATTCTCTAAACTTTATAGATACTAAGTAGTTTCACATAGTGAATCTTAAACATTACCTACCATCATCTTGTGAGTCTCCCTCTGTTCTTCCTTTGCTGCCACTGTCTATTCCTGAGCTGCTGTGGCTAATTGTTGAGCAGTAAGCTTTCTCCTTACGATGAACAGTCTCAATCCCAAAGGGTTCATCAACAGACATCTCGACTGACATCCTATGATGCGAGTCAGCTTCAATACCAGAGGTATGTGAGCTGCTATGGCTAACTGTTGACTGTCTTGAGAGGCGATTGTTCTTGGCACTCCCCCTGCTGCTACCTTGTGAATGTTTATCTGACTGATCCAAATCCATTTCCATGTTGTCACTTATGTAAGATTCCCTGTAGCGCTTTTTCTCTAAAAAAAAAAAAAAAAACCCCACAAACTATGAAATGTATATTTTTATTAAAGTCAAGTGATCATATACATATAAGATGTACAATACACAATATGGTAAATAACTCACAACAATTAGACACACTTGGTTGGGGGAAGGGAAACAAAGAGAGGGGGTGGATCTGGGTGAAGGGAAGAGAGAGGTGGGTTTCGGTACAGAGGGATTGGAGAATGGAAGAGAAGGAGTGAGGTGAGGTTAGGGAAGGGAAGAGGGTATGGGTGGTATTGGAGAAGAGAAGAATGGGGATAGGGTGGGATTGGGGTAGGGATAGAAGAAAGCATGCGGCTAAGGGGACAGAAGAGAAAAAAAAAGGATAAAGGAAAAGAAATGGGGGGGACAAAGGAAGGAATAGAGAGAAGGAAGGTCTGGGATTTAATTGAAGTCTGTAAGCAACATACTTCAGAGACTTGTGAGAAATACACTTAGAAACATAGAAACACAGAATGTGACGGCAGATAAGAACCATTCGGCCCATCTAGTCTGCCCAATTTTCTAAATACTTTCATTAGTCCATAGTCTTATCTTATAGTTAGGATAGCCTTATGCCTATCCCACCATGCTTAAACTCCTTTACTGTGTTAACCTCTACCACTTCAGCTGGAAGGCTATTCCATGCATCCACTACCCTCTCAGTAAAGTAATACTTCCTGATATTATTTTTAAACCTTTGTCCCTCTAATTAAAGACTATGTCCTCTTGTTGTGGTAGTTTTTCTTCTTTTAAATATAGTCTCCTCCTTTACTGTGTTGATTCCCTTTATATATTTAAATGTTTTTTTATCATATCCCCCTGTCTCCTCTTTCCTCCAAGCTATACATGTTAAGATCCTTTAACCTTTCCTGGTAAGTTTTATCCCGCAATCCATGAAGCTGCATTATTATTTCAATGTGAAGCTGCATTATTATTATAAATGTACTGTATAAATCTGACTTGGTTGCATTGTGCACATAAACAGTTTGAAGGACATCTTGCCTATCCCCTACATAAAACTTGAATGGCTAATGCTTTAAGAAAAATGAAACTAAAATGATTTTTCAAATCTCTAAATGCAGAAATTAATGTTATCATGCTGTCTTTCAATACATGTTCTGTGAAATAAAATGATAGTTTCCATTTCAAAAGTATTCTGCTATCTATTGACATAAATATAAATATGATGCTACCTTAGATACACACACATATATATATATATATATATATATATATATATATATATATATATATATATATATATATATTTTTTTTTTTTTTTTATACAACATACATTTATTTTTTTCCCCATTCCAAGTAGTCTTGCACTCTCGGTATTTATTTTATAAATTACCCGGTGCTGTAGTCACACTGAATACACCAATATGATGTAAAGTCAGCACTCCTAGGATTTCCTTCAATATCTTCTTTATTGTTTTCATAAGAAAAACTAACATATATATATATATATATATATATATATATATATATATATATATATATATATATATTTTTATTTTTTTTTCAGTTCCACATTGGAACTTTTATCTGTACATAGTTCAACTTTAAAAACAAATAGGTGATCCACTGCTCAGGAATACCTAAAAGAAAGTCCCCAAAAAATAGCATATATTTCTTTAAAATAAGTCTTCATTTACTCTGGGTGCATAGGCAGGAGGTGGCGTTAAATTTCCAAATGCACTCTCTGTAATCAATAAATTACCCGGTGCTGTGGCCACACTGAATATACCAAGATGGAATGAATACACCACATTGAAACGGTCATCAGGACATTGAACTATGTATAATTATATATTATTTTTTTTAATTATTTATATAGCACCAACATGTACTGCAGCGCTTAAATCAGTATGGCACTACTGATTTTTATTGGAAGATGGAAAAGTATCTCAAACAGAAAATTGGTACAACATTAACAGGGTTATTCAGTAATATCAGAGTTGTTGGGAAGGTAAAGCAATATCAAAGTGAATTTCAAAATTAAAGGCTTTCTCCAAGTGTCATGACCACTTCAGTGATTTGGTGCCTTGAGTCTGTATGTGCAGCAGTTTGCTTTGAAACGCTGTACGGAGATTAACCCCTTACGTGCTGAAGGTGTTCACTTCCAGCAGCGTCATTGGGGAATCAGCTAGCCTTGAATTAAAGATCCGGACTGGCTAATACCAATTCCATTCATTGGCTGATGGTCTTATGCTCTTAGCTTGAAGGCCGCCACCAGGAGCCAACATTGGAGCCCGGCAGGAACACAGGCAAGAGAACAAATCCATTACTGGGGAAGTGGGCAGGGGTATTCCTGGCATCATAACCACTGCAGTTGGCTGTATTGGTTATAAGGGTTTGAGTAACTCTTTAAGGCCAAAGTAGATGGACTGGAAGCATAACTGACTAAGAGAGTGTTTCCAGTTGAGCTATTTTGGGCTTAAATTTAAAATTCACATTGCATTCCTAGCAATTCACACTTTAGTAAAAAAACAACAACAAAAAATGATTTTTTTTTAAATTACAATTTGGTCTTGCTTTATTTTTGGGTTCATATTCCCTATAAATGAATGTTTAGAGTATGTTAGAATAATGGATGGAAGTGGACACATACAGTACGTGCTTATTTTTGGCATTGCATTATGTATTTTCCTCTCCAAATTTAGGATATTTGAAGTTATGTCTGTGTATGGGTCTCTTCTGCACTATAAGAAATAAGTAAAATAAAAAAAATTAAAAAATCCACACACACCTTCTGCTTCCTCTAGTTTTCTAATTTGTTTTAACACTGGCTGGATGTTTAGATATAGTCGGTGACTATTGCTCAGTAGTTGCAATAAGTGACGAGATCTGAATGGACAGCCAGTGTAATAAACCAGTTTCCTTGCAGAGGGAAGTCCATCTGGTTGGATCTCAAACTTCTTGCCCTATAAAAAAAAAAATAAAAAGGCCATGTAAGGAAAATGGATACCAAACAAATATAAATAATTTAACAATTTCCACAGTGAACTTTATTAATGTTACCTAAAAAGCTGAAGAAAATGTGTCTGTTAACAAAACAATGTGAATTGGAAAATGCCTATAATCACAAATTGAGAAATACACCCTAAAATGTATCATTCACAAGCAACTAATATAATCCTGTTGAAAGCAGACAGAAGTTTGGAAGAAAATCTACAAAGGAAATGAAACAAACATTCAGATTTTTATTGAGATACATTAAAACTTAAAGAAAGTAAAATGCTACAATTTGTAAACTATTAATATAACAGGCTATTGTCTTGCACCATTTTAATGCAGGGATTTTGCAGAGGAGATAATTAAGACATTATTAGGATTTAAACAAGGCTTTGCTATTGTGCTTTTATTTTTCCCAGTCTTGCCCCTGCATGTCTATTCTAAAACTGCTCCTCTATGAAAAAATGTAAAAAAAAATAAAAATAATAAAAAAAATATAGATATGTCTTCTTTAAAATATATATTTGAGATTATTATGGGAAATCAGTAAATTTGCTAAGCATATGACTGAAATTATTTCACAATTGAAAGAGGCTATATAATGTTAAAGAGGTGCATCTTCAACATATCTTGTTAGTCACTAGAGGACCATGATAGATTAGGGTTTATGTATAAAAAATTGGTTGATTCAGAAAAGTGGTGCCAAAAATGGAAAGGGGTGGATTAACCAATGCTTTGTGCCTGCCAGTTCCTCTAGATTCCATGGTGACAGCCTCGCTTTTAGTACTTTAGACTACTTTTTTTTTTTTTTTTTTAACCATAACCCCCATTATTTTTAAAGAGTGTTATCATCACGATTATTATAACCAAGTATTGGTTTGAATTAGTTCGTACAGAAAATATATCTACTCGAGAAACAAGTTAAACTAAAGTTTCTAGGCTTGCACGCACACTCTGAAATGAGATAAAAGGCATTCTCCTACTCACAAGAAATGTAAGCTTCCCCACATTCGACCATGGGAAGTCATAAAGAAGCTGTTGCACATGGTTCACCTCCTGAATTACAAAAAAAAAAAACATTGATTATTACCATCAAAAGTATGAACCCATCTACATAAAAATCACAAGTGAAGGTGTGAATACGAAGTAAGAAATATTTTCACGTGATGCTCAGTTTTCTTTTCTAATGTATAGTAAAGATTTACCAGACATGACCACACAATCCACACATAGCCAGGGCAAACAATGCAAATAAATGGGACAAAAGAAACACTGTCTCAGTTTCCCTTCTTGCATGGTGGGTGATATCCGTGCATTATTTCCCACAATGTGCGGTTAAGCCGCCACTATACAGTGCAAGGTCTGTCAAGATTAGTGGGAGTTGAGCTCCATGGCATCAGCTGCTATATAGAACGTGTCAGTTTGTGTCGAGGAAATAATTTATTTAAATTAACATGAGAAAATATACCTGTTTTACTGAACAAAATAATTAGTGTGAATACATTTCATATTATGGAACATTCATAAACAGTGTACACACAGAAACACACTATATATATATATGGTGTGTGTAATAAATAAAACAACAAATTACCTAAAGATAGATGAGAGAGCCCATAATTTTGTTTAACTATGCAACAGTAATAATGACGTACTATCACTCTTTTTTATTATAATAGTAAGAGGTAAAAATTGGTATCAAAATTTTAATAAACCCTTACCTGATATATATGCATTCCTCGAAGTGTCACCCCAAGAATAATAGAGGGACGATCCTCTTTCTTATCCTTAGGACAAAAAACAAACATATAATACTATAGCAAAACAAACCAGGACAAACTAAATAATAGATGGGGACTTTTTAATTTTTTCCATCCTGAACAAGTTCATAATATATTAATGCTTTAAAACTAATCAATGTCTGACATTATCTCTTTTGCTTTTGTTTTTGAAACAATACATTTTGTTCTAGTTACTTTCATTATATGTTTAGGATTGCTTTAGGTTACCAGTAACAAAGAAAGCTTTCAGGTTTCACAAATCTATTCTGACTCCATAGTTCTTTCTACCCCAAGTGATCAACATAAAAGGTAGACCAAAGTTAACACAGAACATTACTGATAGTAATGCATTTTACGTTTTAGAGCTAAAATTACCAAAGGCAGATTTTAGCAAAATAGTTTTTTTTAGCTGTAATTTGGTGCAATATGGTGGAATTCATGCATATCCATGATATTTAATGTATGCAAGGGTCAACAGATTTCCAGGTTCAAATGGGAACATGATCTAGGCAATATAATTATTTATTCATAAAATATTTTACCAAGAAAGATACACTGAAATTTATCTCAGTTTCAAGTATGTCCTGGGTCCACAAAACATTGCATTGATACAATAGGGTACAATAAAATACAAAAACAATATTAATACACAATATATACAAAATTTACCATAGAACAGGTAGGAAACATATAATCAACTATGACAGGTGCATTCTGTTTTGAGATATGTAGAGGGGGATTTTAGGCTTGGGGAAGATTTGAAAGTGTGCGGGAGATCATTCCATAATTGCGGTGCCACTTTCTTTTTGTATTGAGGTAGACTAAATAAAATGCTGGTACTGGATCGGAGGCTATAGGAGGTGGGGACAGCCGGGGAGAGCATTTTGCTCAGGCAGAGTGAAAGCTTCCCAGAAAAGAAACCAAAGTAGTGACACCACTTTTATGGATAGGCACTACTCTCGCAGTCTTCCAAAGTTTGGGTATGTATCCAGACACCAAGGATTCATTAATTCGGGTTGTGACCGGTTTAGCAGTTGCCGGCGCACTGAGCTTCAACAGCATTGCTGGGATTTGATCAGATCCAGACTGGTTTTTAATTTTTAGATTATTAAGTTGTTTCTTAATTACATTAATAGGTACAGGTCTAAAACTGAACTTGTCTACATTGGATCTTTGCAAATTTAGTGGGGCCTGATCCACATTTGTAGTTTCAGGATGTGAGTCATTTATTAGCTTGGCAATCAGGGTAATGGAGCATCCAACAAAATAATTGTTCAAGGCACTTGCTACATCTGAGGGAAGTTGCAGAGTTTGGTTATCCACTTTGACAGTGGAGGGTTGGGAGTGGATTGGGGGAAATTTGTAATTTATTTAGGACTTTCCAAAAGTTTCTAGGGTTTGATAGGTTCTTGTTCAGATTTTTACAGAACTATTGGGCCTTGGCCAGTTTTGTGCATATATTTCACCATTGTCTATATGCACAGTGATCGTTCATAGAGCCAGTACGCTTGAACTTTGACCACAATGAATCCCAAAACTTGTACGTTTGGACAAGGTCAGCTATGATCCAATTTATGTGTGCCCCATTTACTCACCTTACGCAGAAGGGCATGCAAATTCCAAACTTGTAGAAGTTCCGACTGAAAGAATTCAACTGCACAGCCTAGATCTGGGATAAAGTTTAATCTGTGCCATGGGAGGTTCTTGATGTCATTTAGAAATGATTCAAGATTAATTTTTTTGAAGGACCTGGTGATTTTAACCTTGGAAGAGGATTTAGTAGCCTTTATTTTGCGCACGCAGTACACTAAGCAGTGGTCACTGAAACAGTTAGGGAGAACACCTGCCTCCTGGATTCTATAAGGAGAAGTGGAGAGAATCCAACAGAGCAGGGTATGGTTATGGATTTTAATGTTTATGCGAGTTAGGAGGGAGATTAATTGTGTTAGCTGCAAAGTCTTAAACAGTCAGCAAGAACTATTATTTTTAGGATTCAGCCAAATCAAAAAGTGATCCCTTTTTGGGTTTTGAGCTATGGGATCACGAAGGACATTGGCTATGTCAGATAGGGAATACACTGGGGAGCTAGATTGGCGGTAGATTCCTGCAAAAATTATTGCTTTACTGCACAGGATCTCAATTTTGTCAGAAAGGAAATCAAAGGTGGCAGGAGGGCTAAAGTTTTGTAACAGGGTTAACTTTATGGAATTGTCAACATAAATGACAATACCACCGCCTCTTTTTGCTCTGTCATTTCTATGGCATGAATACCCAGGAATTTTTGTGGTTAGCCATGATTCAGAAAGCACACTGATTTTGGGCTTGTAATGTGAACATCATGCTTGCAGTGCATCGATTTTTGGTAGTAATCTGCTGATATTACAGTGCACAAAAGAGAGGGCTTCTATAGATGGAAGGCCAGGAATGGAATCTGTTGGGGGACCAGGGTTAGACTCTACATTATTTGCAAGGGTAAGTAACATGAGTAATAGGAAGTTGGACATACTCTTAGTTTGGTAGTATTGCAATTGTAGGATTTTATACTTTTGTGGGGTGGAGGTGGGAGGGCTTGATTTCAACACTCTCCACCAACACTCATCAGATAAATTACAGCAACAAAGCAGGCCATGACATAGAAGAATTTGGTTCTCAGATTGTGGTGAGTGGTGCTTAAGAGGGTAGTGGTAGGAACATAACAGGAGTGCGAACAGGGTTACAAGTAATATTAACACGGTCAAATTTGGAGCCATGAACATAATGTCTGAGACCTGCTCTGGGATTTGACTGAGAAAAACAGGCAGAGGAGCTATTTTATGACACACATCAGACCCATGTCACCCACAAGTGTTAAAGAAAAAAATAAAAATAAATAAATAAATAAAACAAAGGGAGTTGCCCTAACCTAGATCTAAATTTAATGTCTTTGGATAAGGGATTACAATGTTATATACATACACACACACATATATATATATAAAAATAAAAAGCAATACAAATCCTTACCTGCCATATTGCCATAACTAAACTTCCTGACTGCTGCTAAACTCATTAGGGAATTGTATTCTAGGCCTACTGAACTAGAAAGAACTTGGACAATTTAGTAATACAGGTAAAGAGCTGCTATCAGTTTCAACAAAGAAACAATTGGTTCAGCAACTCATACCAGTAGTAGAATAATTAAAATAATCATGTCATGCACAAACTGTGTAGATTAAAGGTTCTCATAAAGGCAGATAACAGTTCATGTATGCAATGTGCTTTCAAAATCAGCAACAGTTGAATATAATAAACTAAGTACTTATGTATCTCAAATTCATCTTCCTCCTCAAATTTATCATCATAAACATTCTGAAATGGACAGTTGTTCCCACAAGAAACAAATAGCATCCTGCAAGTAGCAGCGTGCAAGGGAACACACATTTAAGTGACAACTGCATGTCACTTAGAGGTGCGATGACTATAAAAGCCAATACTCTGTACCTCTTCCCATTGTCGACAGCCCCAAAAGGTCATATTAATACATAGTTTAATAACTATTTAAGCTTTACGTTTTCTTACTATGTGACTAGCATAATTATCAAATGATATTTTATTCTCTTTAAAGGTGGCATTAAGCCATTTTATTCATGAGAGTTTCGTTTTGCTGCTTCGTATAAACAAAAGAAAATCCTGTATCTGTTGTTCACATGACTTTAGTAAAGATTGGTTTCAATTGGCCAGTTCTCACAACTTTCTCAAAACTACCTGCTCCACTAATTGCAAGAAATTGCAATAAAAAAAAAAATAAAAAAAAAATACAGATTGCATTTCAAGCGGAGTTATAGGTGTGTGATTTTATATCTCTTAAAAGATGTATATGTAGAAACATGATCTACTCTAGTTGGCTGAAAGGATATTTATTTGAGCAAATATTGATTTAGAGTGAAGTTAAACATGTTCTTTCTTAACCCTATGTACAGTCAAGCATCAAAAATATTACTTAAAGGGAAACTAAAGTGCCATGAAAACAAAGCTGCTTTCCTAGAACTATAGCTCCCTATAGTGCCCCCTCTGTCGCATCCCTTCCCACCTACTCCCATTCCCCCATCCCTTGCTTTATTTGTATTTTATATTTCTTTTAAAAGGCTTGCACACAACAAATAAAGTATTGCATATCTGATATCTGCTGGAACCTTGTGAGTTAGGTAGATTTGCTCTTGAGAGTGGAAGCAATTCTACACTTGTGATTTAAATATGGCTATAAAGTCAGCTTGCAGACATTTTACAGTAGATCAAAAATAAATAAAAAAAATTTCCATTTAATCTTATGCTATTTCACAATCTGATAAAATTGTCAAATGATAATTTTGCATTTTTTACAAATCCAATATTTGATGTACTTTGCAAAAGGTTTTTTTTAAAAAAAAACTAGAATTGCAAAAAAATTATAAATAAATAAATAAGGTGTTCTTTAGGAAGAAAAGCATATCATATGTCAGTTCTCATGAGATGAACGAGTTTGTATAGTAGATGTCTACATGCAAAAGATCACAGATATCAGTCACCTGAGATGACATGTCAAATTATGCACAAGTTCAACAGGTGAGTGACTTACAGGTCATTCATTCAGAGTGACACACAGAATTGAAAAGCCGGAGGGCAAGCATGAAAATGTATCAAATTATTAAAGGGACACTAGTCATTAGAAGCACTACAGCTTAATATATTGACTCTGGTGGCTGTAGCTTGCCCTGCAGGCTTTTTAATGTAAATGCTTCATTTTCAGAGAAAAGGCAGTATTTTCATTGCTGCCTAGTAACACCTTTAGGTGCAGTCAATTAGACGCCTACTAGAAACGATTCCTAGTTCAGTACTGCACTGTGTTGAGCACCTACATTTAGCATCTCCACACGCTGAAAGTAGACACCGAACGCTCCTCAGAGATGCAGTCGTATTAAGTGAACTGCAAATTTTAGGCAAAAAACAAAAACAAAGGTAGAAGTGCAGAGTTGTAATTGTTGTTACTTTTTTATATTTCAATATTTATATCTATTTAATAGTAATTTTGCCTAAACTGTGTTACTGCAAATCTCCATTGAGGAAATAAACCAAGGAGTACCATAGTGCATAACACACGGTATGTGTAAAGCTCCTTAAATTATTATTATTTTTTTTTAAATAGAAAGAGATTGAACTAAGACTTGGAATTAAGATCAGGTTTGTACCAGTTCTGGTCATAAAACTAGCTATTCACTAAGCAGGGTAGGTTCAGACAAACGCAGGTCAGGATTCCAAATAAAAAAAGTAGAAATCCACCAATGTCGGTCCTAAAATAAGAAACCTATTAAAAAACAGCCTCTCACACCTACGAAAATCCCACAAAAGTATTAAAACATTTTCTTGCCTTACAGCTTCACAAAAGCAGCTGAATAAACAAATGTATGAATAAATCACAAACAGACAATTGTCAGGAGACTATGTTCCAATTAAGAGAAATGCTAATAAAGAATGTTACTGCAACTTGCTACTCCAATGGCAACTTTATTACATGTTCATTACCTTTAATATGATAACAAATGCAATTTAGTTACTTCAGTAGTAGTACACCTTTAGTAAATGAAACACAAAAAATTTTGTACTGCACTTTATTAAAAAGGGTCACTTTGTTTCATTCATTACCATTTCCGATATGTTTAGCTTGTGTATGTGATGGGCACGTGCCAAGAAAATCTTCTCATCTTTTCACATGTTCGGGGGCTCTGGAGTTCACTTCACAGAGCAGCATTCACAAATATGAACAGGGCTGTGAACAGGTTGATATCATCTGCAGTATGGCTGCTACTGATAAGTAGAACTGTGACTGGGAGCTAACCTACATATACCATAAACTGGGCTGGTTGGTACAAATATCCCCCCTGGGCATTTAAAGTCAGAAGAACCCAAAACAAGAGGAGCAGGGCTAGAGAGGAAAGAGATGGCATGTTGTGTCATCGTCAATCTCTCCACCAGGCCAGGAAGTGTTACAGCAGCCTCTTTCAGCTAGCCGGGGAGATTCTTTGAACTGCCCTGTCAGCCTTGGCATTACATTAGCCCGTGCTGCTGTGTGGAGTGATTTTCTGATGACCTGCCCATAAATATGTGCAGAGGGTCATGAAATGTGAAAAAACTCAAATACCTCATCACTAGCTGAGGAATAGTCTACCTTCTGTAGACACATGCAGTTTTAGGACATTTAAAGCAACGTGACTCATAGCCTGTCTTTAATACGTTATATAGTTTATGCATTAAAAAGAGGCAAAACAATACAACACACAAGGCTTACCTTTTGCAATCTGTAGCAATGAACAGGCACATCCTCTAGCAAGCACGATTCCCTAATGAAATGGAGTACTGCCTCTTTAACAGACATCCCTTCCTGTTCTTTGTGTATTTCAGGAGCATGCTTTAGAATGTAGTCACTGCCTCTCTTTGCAATTATCTGATAAGAGATCACAAAAGCATTTTAATAGTAACTAACATTACTAAAAAACAAAAGTCATGTTTAAATAATTTTACTGTATGTAAAACCGGTTACAGTGCCCGTTTCCAAAATTACATGTGATCTAAAAAATGTGCAGAACAAGTTATTCCTCCAAAGTGCTAATGTCATAAAGTAAGAAAGGGTTAAGGATAAATCCCAGTTCTATCCTAATCTTGGTAGGATACAGTTAGTTATTTTATTTAAGATCTACACTGGAAGACTTGTTCATATAGGGGAGATAACACACGCACTTTGATAATGCACACAGACATCTTCTTGATATATAAATTCATAAAACTCTATACTCTATAGACATAGAAGAGATTCAATAAAGTGAATCATACAATTTTTGTAAACGTACTTGACCTTTTAAAGCCATAATAATGTGTCATCAACACACACACAAGCTTTACATATAGATCCCCCTCCTCCGTATTGCTTTATAAGAATTACTCAAGAATGACGCATGCCATTACCACTTTCAAAGTATTATGGTTAAAAAAATAATAATTTCTTTGAATAGTCTTACTCATACCACATAATATACGTGTGTCCGCGCGCGCACACACACACACAAAAAATAACTTGTATACTTAATTTAACAATCATTCTTGCACTGGAATTTGCAGAACCTTGGTCTCTGGAATGCATTTGCCCTTTGATCCATAACCATGCATAAGACACGTTATACAAGAGTAAATAGTGACACAGACTAGCTGACTATTTACACAGAAACTGTGTTTTTGCAAAAGAAAAATAATTTCAAAAAAAGTGGAAAAAGTAAATCATGTATTTGGCATAAGATGTTGTTATTAAAAAAAAAAAAAAAAAACAAAGAAAGTAATTTCATTTTAGCCAATAACAAAAAATAACAGGATTTGTGTGTTGGATGTAACATCATAAATATTTGAGATATTGTGTCAACTTCCTTTTTACATTTGTCAGAATATGTAATACCATAAATACATATTTGTTTTTTTTTGGAAATGTACCTGTATTTTATAACAATCACTTTTCAGGTAGCAAAAAGCATGTTACAACAAGCATGGAGTCAACTTTGGGGGTTCCCCAAGCACCATAACAACCTATGCTCCTTGGCCATAGCGCATGGAGCATCCCAGTAATAGTTGAATTTATATACATCTAAAATAAGGCAATCTAACTACACATCACACAAGCACCACACCACCTCTGAAACTCTTCTTCCTATACTACAACTTTAACTAGCTTTAAAAAAAAAAAAAAAAAAAAAAAAGGGACAGTTTAGTCACCCGAACCACCACAGCTTAACATTCTATCCAATGTAAACCGTTTACATTGCTCCCTAGTGATATATCTTTGCAGTACCTATTTTCAGTGTCTCCACACTATGCTTGGAGATGCCAAACGCTCTCCATAGAAATGCACTAAACCAATGCATCTCTATGTGGAGTTGCTGATTAGTGCAGGATGGCGTTTAAAGGTGTATGCACAATAGCATCCCAATGGGGTAGCATTGTATTAGCTGGAATCATCAGTCTTGAATGCATGTTTTATTCATAACTATATACTATAGTGTTCCTTTAATAAACCAGCTTAACGATTTTTATTTTCTTTAAAGAAAAAAAATAAATATTTTTTACATTTAAGATTTATTTTCTTTCAAACAGCACACTGGATATCATTTTCTTTTAAATATTGTGCCTAATGTCTATTTCCCAATATAAATAAAGTAATCCCCACCATGTCTCAAAAGGAAGTGCTTTGCCAAGCTAATAAACCAAGCCTAACTTGGCATCTTCAGGATCTTCATTCAGGTAAATATTTCTGAATGACACTATTTAAACAACCTATGCACTAGGGAGGGTTCTTGAAAGCATTTTCTCTTGGAAAGCCCTCAGGACATGCAATGGGAACTCCTGTTGCAAGCTATGATCTTACCCAGTGTGGGAAGTAAGCCTCGGGCTCAAAGTAGTTTTTCATGTGCACATTCAGATTTCCACAATCTGCTTGAAGAGCATAAGCTGCCAGCAAGAAATAAATCTCCTCTTTGTGAGTGCAGTGGGATCGTAGGACTTGATCTTTGAGGTGGTGATAATAGAGTTGCCTTGCTTTCTTGTCACTGGAGAGGGGAAAAAAAGAAAACACATATGCCTCACATTTTATTTAAATAAAAATAGTACACAATCAAGCTAGTGTTAGTAGCCCCATACGATTGGGTCTATAGTTTGTCATTATGATTGTACAGTTATAACTAGAGCGAACACAGCTTGAGTGTTAGGATGATGATTAAACAGCAAACTATGAATTAGAATGTACAGTTCACGTTTCCGATGCTGAACTCAAGAGATTCACTGAATCATTGCACATTGATTTGGCCTGGGATGACAGCAAATTACCTAAAATTGATCTATTCAGAAGGTAGCCTGGGGCAACTGTCTGGACAAAGATAGTAGCCTCTGTTTAGCCAAAACCAGAAGGAATATCGTATGTAGTCATTTGTGACTTAGTATAGTAATGTTACAAAATAAACACTTTTGCTGTAATGTGAAGAGATTGTTCTTTGTTAAATATGAATGCTGTATGAAACATATATATTTTTGCTTTGTTGTTGTTTTGCTTATTGCTGAATAGGAAATAATGTACGAAAAAATATATACTGATTTTTAGCAGTGCCGTGTTATTTGGTTTTCTTTATGTTCCAAACAGAAAAACTATTACAGAAGTACAGCTTGTACTATTGCGGAATAACTTGCTACTGATAAGGGCCAAACTAATTACATGCTAATTTTCCTAATTATAAATTGCTTTAATCAGTCAGTTAATAAAGAGAACGCCTGTTTTACGGTTTTCATTATACCACCCTGTAGGTATGAAACTATTGAAAAAGTTAAAACACAAGCAAAGAGACATTTAAATAATGTGATTAGCACTTCTAATTTCATTCTCTGCAGGAAATTACTAATGCTATTAGATATAATGGTTATATATAAAAAAAATAAATAGGAGAGATTATAGTCGTCACTTGTCACTGCACAATATAAAAAAAATTAAAAATAAATCTTAGTCCTGACAAAGTTAAAGGGTAACTAAGCACCATGACTGCAGTTTGTATGTGTAGTATATCGCTTTAAAATGCTATTCATATGGAGTTTAATCCCTCTACTACCAGAGGTTTAACTCCACCTTCTGCAGGATCACTGGGGATCCGGCTGACTAATGACAATTAAGGGCAACTTTTGAGGGGACCCAGAAAGGGGGCACATTGATTGCTAAATGGTTTGGCCCATTATCAAGGAACTGGAACAGGGGAATCCTGGCATCATAACCACCACATTGGGCTTAAGTCTTTATTGTCCATGCCCGTCAATTTTACATTTCATGACATGAGATCGACAGCGTATGCCCAAATAAATAAATATACAATGCTCAAAAAAAATAAAGGGAACACTAAAATAACACATTCTAGATCTGAATGAATTAAATATTCTTCTGAAATACTTTGTTCTTTACATAGCTGAATGTGCGGACAACAAAATCACACAAAAATGAAAAAATGGAAATCAAATTCTTCAAGCCATGGAGGTCTGGATTTGGAGTCACACTCAAAATTAAAGTGGAAAAAGTTATTTTCTTGAGACACTACAGGCTGATCCAACTTTGATGTAATGTCCTTAAAACAAGTCAAAATGAGGCTCAGAAGTGCGTGTGGCCTCCACGTGCCTGTATGACCTCCCTACAACATCTGTGCATGCTCCTGATGAGGTGGCGGATGGTCTCCTGAGGGATCTCCTCCCAGACGTGGACTAAAGCATCTGCCAACTCCTGAACAGTCTGTGATGCAACATGACGTTGGTGGATGGAGCGAGACATGATGTCCCAGATGTGCTCAATTGGATTCAGGTCTGGGGAACGGGCGGGCCAGTCCATAGCATCAAAGCCTTCGTCTTGCAGGAACTGCTGACACACTCCAGCCACATGAGGTCTAGCATTGTCTTGCATTAGGAGGAACCCAGGGCCAACCGCACCAGCATATGGTCTCACAAGGGATCTGAGGATCTCATCTTGGTACCTAATGGCAGTCAGGCTACCTCTGGCGAGCACATGGAGGGCTGTTCGGCCCCGCAAACAAATGTCACCCCACACCATTACTGACCCACTGCCAAACCGGTCATGCTGGAGGATGTTGCAGAGAGCAGAACGTTCTCCGCGGCATCTCCAGACTCTGTCACGTCTGTCACATGTGCTTAGTGTGAACCTGCTTTCATCTGTGAAGAGCACAGGGCGCCAGTGGCGAATTTGTCAATCTTGGTGTTCTCTGGCAAATGCCAAACGTCCTGCACGATGTTGGGCTGTAAGCACAACCCCCACCTAGGGACGTCGGGCCCTCATACCACCCTCATAGAGTCTGTTTATGACCGTTTGAGCAGACACATGCACATTTGTGGCCTGCTGGAGCTCATTTTGCAGGGCTCTGGCAGTGCTCCTCCTGTTCCTCCTTGCACAAAGGCGCAGGTAGCAGTCCTGCTGCTGGGTTGTTGCCCTCCTACGGCCTCCTCCACGTCTCCTGATGTACTGGCCTGTCTCCTGGTAGCGCCTCCATACTCTGGACACTACGCTGACAGACATAGTAAACCTTCTTGCCACAGCTCGCATTGATGTGCCATCCTGGATGAGCTGCACTACCTAAGCCACTTGTGTGGGTTGTAGACTCCGTCTCATGCTACCACTAGAGTGAAAGCATCGCCAGCATTCAAAAGTGACCAAAACATCAGCCAGGAAGCATAGGAACGGAGAAGTGGTCTGTGGTCACTACCTGCAGAACCACTCCTTTATTGGGGGTGTCTTGCTAATTGCCTATAATTTCCACCTGTTGTCTATCCCATTTGCACAACAGCATGTGAAATTGATTGTCACTCAGTGTTGCTTCCTAAGTGGACAGTTTAATTTCACAGAAGTGCGATTGACTTGGAGTTACATTGTGTTGTGTTAATTGTTCCCTTTATTTTTTTGAGCAGTGTATATATGTGTGAGACCAGCGTTTGCTAAACTCCTCACTAACGAGGCAGTCATGTAATTACTTCCACTCAAGGATTAGGTACGAACAGCAGGCTAATTGCATTTTTTTTGCATTATAAATATGACATTTTCGAACTTTGCCCCACAATGTTATCCTAATATACAGACTGCAAAGAATATATGTTTAAACCTGCTTTGTAACATTATTCAGAATTTATTGGAAGCAAACCAAAGTGCCAAGAAATTACATTCATGTGATGTTTGAACATTAGTTCCTACACTGATGCATTTATCTTTAGTAATTCAATTAGGGTTACAGCTTTAATGCTAAAACACATGACAATACTAATCTGGGATTGAATTGGAAAACTTTGTTTTTTTTAAATATAAGGTCATTAATAATTAATTTATATTTGAAAGAGCTGTTTTTATGAAATACATTTGTTTTGTTTGTTCAGCTTGATAAAGTGGTTATGCTGCCAAAATTCTGTGTATTTGTATAAGTTTTAACAAGCACTTTATTTTAAAGTATCCAACTGATTTACATGGTTATTTACCAAGTCCATGCTTATTTGTGCTTACAGTTCTTAGAGAAACATACTGTGAAATACACATTTTATACTTTAAACCATTAAAAATGTCCCATTCATTCTGTATAGATTCGATTAAACCATTGGTACGGTCATATGCAAGAATACAAGCACCAATATTATTTCCTGCCCTCTCTCCCCCCTTTGTATTTGATTTAGAAATCCAATTGATACATTCCTGGAAGTTAGTGAGACTGTGATAACTGCCCTAGGCTATAGTCCAATAGAGCAGGAAAACTAAAGCACAATTTTGACATTTGTGGGTGTATTCTTGTATGATTAAAGTCAAACAAACCTAAGCTTACTAAACAAACAAACACAGTACGAACTATTTAGCTGCTGCTCTTCGCATGAATTATTTTTTTTACCTTATTATTCTTCCATTCTCTACATAGTATTGCACTCTGAAAAAGGCAACACAAGGAGGGCTGAACTTCTCAGTAACCTATAGACAAAAAAAAATAATAATAATAAAGAGAATCAGAATATAAAAGTTATACATTCTTATATTTCACAGTTCTATTGCATCCATATCAGCTACAGATTTTGCCATGCATATTTTTCTACTCAATGGATTTTCTAGAGGGAATAGTTGGTTTTAGTTATTAGATGTGCATGATGCAGAACACGATAAAAGGTGCATTGTAAATCTTAAAACCTATTGTGTCATGATATTGCACCTTCAGCTGAAAATATCCTTCCTAATCTGCTAGCTAAGCAATTATATCATTACAATTGCTTCTAGCCATGGGCAGTTTTCTTTATTTCAGTTTTTTTTTTCCTTTTTAAGGAGGAAAAAAATAAATACAGAAATAATAATGACATGTTGCAGGGATTGTACACACTCTCTCTCGTTACATTTGCAGACTAGGTTTTAGAATCTGTACCACACAGATGGTGACATTCATTCCATGTAGTGAATAGGTAATAATGCATATATCTCCTCAGAGCAGTATGCGAGCCCTAATATTTACTTTCCAATATTAGATGGTTCACTACCAATGCCTCATATATCTCAAATATCCAAGCTGTCCAGAGGCCCTAAGTTCTAGCTATACGTTTTCTGGTCTGAGTTAATTACACTCCTAAGCGGCACTAACCATCATTTTAATGAAGGAAATTTAAATAGCTACCACCTGAGAATACCGGTATATACCCACCAATTTCAGGCAGCACATAGCGATTATTACATACATACATACATACATATATATATATTATCATTATCTTAACTACACAACACCTACCGTACACTGTAAAAATGATGTCATTAAGGGGTTCTGTGTTATTTAATAAGTAGGGTATCATATTATTTTTACATTAGGACAGGTTATGGATTAAGATTTTACTGAGATCAGTGAGTTACAATCCCAAGCAGTGACTATTTCAGTTAGTAGGTGCTGCCCACGAGTGTAACTCCTGCTAATCTTGAGAAGACCAAGGCACATATCGCCTGAACATGTCTGAACTTAATGCGCAAATGCCCTCTGTTTAGCCTGGGTGCCCTATCACATTTATTATGTGTAATATTTGCAAGGAGGTCACTAAACACACAGCACTGGATTTTAAAACATGATCTGCCTGTTGAAATAACTGCAAAGTGTATGTTATTTTTAAGATTTCATAAAATTGCTGAAAATGTCACCAATAAAGGGTTAAGAATCTTGTCCAACCAGTCTTCCCATGCCAGAAATAGTTTGGCACATAACCTGTTGACAGATTCACTTTGTGCAAGATTCAATGTGTGCAAGTGAATTTGTTTTAAGTGTTATTTTGCATACTCTGCCGTTAAATTAGTTATACCTTGTTGCAGTGCTGTATGCACAGCACATGTACACTGTTGGAGAAAATGCAAAGTGTGTATATGGCATTTCTTTACTAGGCTTCCAAGGCATTCTGGGGTGGTGTAACAAGGTAGCGAGTGGTGGGAAGTACATTTTAACTTACCTCCGCTAATGTCATTCACCCCAGTAAACACTGAAGAACCGTTTCTCGGGGTGTATCACAATTAAAAGGGACAGTTCCAGTTTAGATTATTAGCTCAATTATACATATTTTTGAGATACAATAACTTTTCAAATGGCTTTACAGTAACTTCTGACATGAGCACATTCTCTTACTGTTTTTTTTTTTATACAATGTATAGTAACTATATTGATTTTCATTGTGAATATTTTATAATAAATGTGAATGCCTTTTAATTTTTTTCCTTGAGCATATATAAATAAGCAACATACAGAAATCTATATTAAGAAAATTACCAGAAAAGCCATATCAGCCAACTGCAGTCGATTAGTTACAGCTTGTTGATGAAGTAGGCTAGTAAGAATCATAAAGCTTAGATAGGGAGCAAGTGGTTAAATTAAACTGGTGCAATAAAGAATTAGGCACAAAGGCCACTTGAGATGATTAACTCGATAGATCTTGTCATGAGGGTTCAGCAACTCATACAATTTTGCATACTTTTAAAACTCAGTCTACCATTAACAGGTGGAAGAAGAATATCAAACATATAAGCAGTAGAAAAAAATATATAGCGTCTCATAGATCCCATTTCCTGTTTTCACATGGTGAGGCATAACAGCAAGATCAAATAGACACGTTTTTGTCTCCGATGTTGCCAGAATTGGCCCATCAACACTGTCAGAATTCCCAATGGGCATCTAACATACGCCCACAAGCAGTTTATATCCAATTTTCAAGATACAACTATTTGAGAGATAAACTCCATCATTTCTTAAAGGGTTATTCTAAGCACCATGACAACTTCAGTGTTTTGGTCATGGTGGCTGGAATAAGTATATGCAGCATTTCGCTGTGAAAAGCTGCGCCGTACGGATATTATCCACTCTGTTGCCGGTGCTGTAACTCCACCTCTGGCAACATCACTGAGGCGTCATTAGGTAGCCCCGAACTATATTCCCAGGCTGGCTAATGTCCATTCTCTGCAAAAGATTTTTCCAGATGCACATCACAACCAGACTTAATGGAGGCCAGGCAACTGGTAGGACAAGATAGGAGGACATTACTGAGAAATAGGGCCATAGTACTCCTCACATCAGAGCAACAGACAATAGAGGTTATGATGCTAGGAGTAACACTTTTACGGAAATCCTTTGCAACAGAGAATGTGATTGTTCATCTTTCTTCGCCGACTTACTTTGCTGGTTTCTTTTTTCCATTCCTTTGGAAAATATTTGTTGAGCTTCTGTTCTAGGTCCATAAATATATATTCATTATCTGTAAGAGGAAATATCAGCATTAAAAGACTAGAACATGCTAGCAGTCATCTGGCATTTTAATGTGTTTGGTATCGTGTGCACCTTTTCCTTTGTTTCAAATCACTAAATCTCACTATCCTCAAGAACCTAAAGTTAAGAAATGTGTGCATTAGGATATGAAGACACTGTTCACTCCACCGTTTAACAGAAGCCTTGCAGTACAGAGAGAGTGCGCTTATCCCCAAAATGACCAAGCCAGGGTAAAAAAAAAGTTAATGATGTAATAGTTAATCTAACAGCTTTGGCTCTGGGCTTTTCAGACACAACCCCCCCCCCCAAAAAAAAAATAGAATTAAAAAATAAAAATAGATGTTTATGGATATGCATGGCAAAACACTACGTGCTTAGTATTTATAAAGCTATAAATTGAGGCACTGGACAGTTTCTCTTGTTTTCTGTTTTTTCCCTCCCCCATCAAGCAGAGTGGCTAATGTCACTGCTAATGTCAATGCTTTCCGGAGTACCAGCTCGAAGAATTGCCAACATCTATTATTTGCAATACATGGAAAAAGCCATACTGTGAAAGTGGTTCACAATACAAAATTTTAGCTCAAACCCATAATTTTTTTTTTGGTGTGTTGGAAAAATTATTTATAGACTTTGTACACTTACTACATGGGGTAGAACTGTGCACCAGATGGTGCATTACACAGTATGAAAGATCTGTCTATAATGAAACAAACCATCTTGAAAAACACATGTACAATGAAACATTTTATTAGTATACTTATATTATTTGCAATTGTGAATCTTGAGTTTCATTTAGTTTTGCTGTCATTATCTAATACAGCAATTTTTCTTAAATATGTTTGATTCCGATTACAGACTGCACAGACGACGATGAGAACATGCCATGATTGGAAACTGGTATATAGTTCAAACAATATATTTAACTCTTTCCATCACACAACTAGTTCTACATTATTCTCTTTCTTAGAATGGGGTGTACCATGTACAGTTGTGACTATATTTGTATACATACATTTATTATTGGTATTTATAAAGTGCCAACAAATTCCTTAGCGCTGTACTATTAGAGGAGAACATACAATATACACAGACAAATACAAATGGTAGAGAGGGCCCTGCCCATAAGCTTAGATCTAGCCATTTTTATACAAAGTGCTTAGCTAGATAGCCCTTGAGTTTACAATCTAAAGGGGATTTGAGACAAGAGATAGCAGGGGGAGGGGGGGATTAGAAATGATGGCTAAAAGAAGTTAACAGAGAGTTGCAGCTATTGGTAAACTATAAAGGGAATGAGGAGGTAATTGAGTGAGACTCTCAAACAGCTGGAGGAATATCCTATATATTTAGTAGGAACCTGGATGGGTGGGAGGAGGGGAGAGTGGTTGGCTGGGTAGTGCTGAGAAAAAGAAAAAAAAGGAGAGCTTCAGTATTGTGGTTTCTGGTAGTGTGAAGTGAAGCCTGGAGAATAGAGATGGAGATGGAACAGTTATATGAATGTATTTGCAGCCAAGAGGAGCAAAGGATAGAGAGAGGGGGAGGGTAGAGTAAACATTTGTTGTATACCATTATAAAGTTTACCAACCAAATTCCAATCACCCAAAATATTAAAGAGACACACACACACACACACTACAGAGCATTATTCAGACTACAAAACTAGAATGAAAGCGGAAATAATGAAAAGCGGAATAATGAAGTCAAATATGATCACTTAGAATTGATGCTGATGCTGCAGGAGGTCTACGCCAAGGTTGCTTATTCCTGGCACAGTAAATGGAGATGCAGAATCCTCATGTTAAATTATATTTTTTATTGTCCTGCAACAAGTGCCATTAGCCATCTAAATACTTAAATACAGGATCAACACTTACAGCATTAAACCGCTAAACCAGATAGAAAATATGATTCAATCAAATTGGAAAAATTGAGGCACAAATAGATGATCTGGATTCTCAAACTCGAACATTATCTTAAGTATTTTTGCCTTCGTTTTGAAAATTTAGATTTAATTTGCAGAAACACATTGGCTTACAGAATAACCCTGTTAGTTTTACATTTACCGGAAATTTTACAGTATACCATGAAGACTTATTACTAGTGATGTCCCGAACGGTTCGCCACGAACGGTTCGCTGCGGACTCATCATTGAGTAAACTTTGACCCTGTACCTCACAGTCAGCAGACACATTTCAGCCAATCAGCAGCAGCCCCTCCATCCCAGATCCCCCTACCTCCTGGACAGCTCACTAAGAATGCAGCTTCACAATGAATGTAAAATGGATGCTGTCCAGGAGGTGGGAAGGTCTGGGAGGGAGGGTCTGCTGCTTATTGGCTGGAATGTGTCTGCTGACTGTGAGGCACAGGGTCAAAGTTTACTCAATGATGAGTCCGTGGCGAACCATTCGTGGCGAACCGTTCGGGACATCACTACTTATTACATACTGTGTCACACATTGAATATTGTATGTGATATGGGATTTTGATCACAAAGAATTGTGGATTTTTATGGCAAAAAGCCCACATATTTAGGGTACCAGAGAACATGGTCTACTAATTTGTTCATGTACTTTGTCTTTGGATAGCAAACCCATCAGTCCGTTTACTGTAGAATTTAAAGCCAGTGGATATTTCCTAGAAGAATACAACCACGGCCACCTGAACACAGTCAGTGACCCCAGACTGGCACAGAAGAGTCTTCATCCATTTTTGGCATGCAGATTGGCAGCATTCAGTGAAAATAAATTCCCCAGCACTCTGGTATAAGATGACATGAAACATGCTTCATGGGTAAAAGGGCTTCTATTTTTAACTATATAATTTATTGTGAAGATTAAAGGCAAACCACACCCCACATCCTCTGAGAGAGAAATGTACCTGACAGAGGCTTATAAAACATAGTGCAATTCTACCTTGGAGCAGAATATTCCTTGTGCATATCTAAGGAATATATTGGTCTCGAGGACACATGTAAGTTTGTATTAAAATTATATCACAAAAATGATTGGGGGTATAATCAGCACAATATATAGATCATAATGCAGTAAATTTGTGTATGGTGAGATTTTTCAGTTCTTCCAAACACACTTTTTTTCCAGAAAGCTTTGTTTGGAGCCTCTGATGTTCAGTAATGTGTCAGCTAGGCTATAATGGACAGCTATGTGGCACAAGGGGCTTGCCAGCCAGCTGCCACCTTAAATAGTTAAAGTAATAAGCAGCCTATGAGGTTAATATGACTCCCACATTAGTACAAGGGAGATTTTATACCTCCCTCATTGCCCTAATTTGACATGCTGTGAGTGGAGGCATGTCTGCTATCCTGGCAATCCTAGAGCAGGAGTATGCAGTCACCGGCACTCCAGAAGTTTTGGACTAGATCTCCCATAATCCTCTTACAGCTATAATGCTGACAAAGCTATAATGCTGGGGGAAGAAGTGGGGGGTGGGATGTAGTCACAACATCTAGAGTGTTGAAAGTTGCCTACCCCTGTACCAGAATAATAGGAATAAGGGAAACATAGCCTAAAAAAAAGGCAATGTGTAGCAACACTATGGGCGCAATCTAAATATTTAAATAGGTTATGGTAATTTACTTGTTCATAAAAGGATAGGTACACATCTTCTGAGCCAATACAAAAACCCTTTACCCACAGGATACTTTAAGTGCTAGTGAAATCCAACTTCAAATTCCTACATAGGGTATATTTTATACAAGGAGGCAACTTCCAGTTTGATGTCAAAGAAACCAAGGAGTTTTCAGACTTGTCTATACTGGTTATTCTTTGAATGACATGAGGACTCCTTGTCCTGGTGATACACAGTTTGTGCACTAGAACAAACTATTTATATATGAACATCAAGATTCTCAAAAATTAATCCCAATGGTATATATGCTAGAATTAAAAAGCACGGTACACTGAAATACATACATGTGACCTAACAATGCAAATAAAAACCATGTACAGGACATCAAATACTGTTTTTTATGAATATAAGTTTTTTTTTCCTCCTCCTTACCAGCAGAATCACTTTATTACTGATGTGTTTCCAATTATCTAATTACATTTGGTTTACATTGTATTTTACCTTTCATTAATATTCAGTGTTAAGCTCCTGACCATTAGATTCAATATATCATAACATTTGTATAGTACCACAAAGGGGTATTTCTTTAACATTCACCATTTGCTTGAACAGTAGGCATCTGCTCACAGACTGGTTAGAAATAAAAGTATAAACTTGCCTACTGAGAAACAAGCTTGTTGCAAACACAGAAAAGTTTTGTCATAAAGATCAAAAAGCATTTATTAATAAACATTACAAAACGTTTGATTCGCGATAGAATTTGACAGAAACAGGTAACATAACTGAAATAATCTCCTTCCTTCATTCTACAAACTTTAAAAAAAAAAAAAAATCTTTGATTTGTACATTTAATATTTGGAACTAGAAAAATAATCCTCCCCCGCCTCATCACCCCCAAAAAAAAAGAAAGATATGAATGTTTGTAAAGCAGAAATACCACTATATCCTCCCCAAGTCCTCCCTTTTGTGAAGAAATGCTGCAGTACATTCCAGCTTTAATGAAATTAATATAGTTGGAATGTAAGCATGCAGTGTAAGCTTGCATCTGCAAAAACAAAGAGACCCCTTTTCATTCCCTCACGTAGGTGATTTGGATTAGTGATGAAGCCAACAAAATCTCTGTCAGATGGTCTGGCCACATTCTTTTTTTCTCAAGTTAAAAACCTGGGAACCAACAAAGCATTTAAAATCAGATCTGATCAGGCTCTGCTGGAGCATATTGTTTTATGTATGCCTGCAAGGACAAGGGAAGGAACAATATCAAATACCATCTTTACCAGACCTCACATTTTCTTTTTTTTAAATGTTAATTGGCCTAAGGGTGAAGTCAAAGATCCTAATGTATTGCAAAGTCTTTAGCAGCCCTGCTTTTTCCTCCAACTATATCATGTGAGAAGACACTAATTCAATATGTACACACACACACACACACATTACAAAAGAGGATTTTCAAGTTTGTAAGGCATAGGAATGCTTATAATCCTGCCATGGGTTGCTCATTTTTAATGGTAGGAGTGGAGTGCAGACATGTCTTAAGATAAACAAGACAATGTTTTCAATCTGCATTATTAAAGGAACATTGTCAATGGAATTAACCATATAGTAAAATCAAAATGTAAGCGGTATTATAAAATATTAACACGTCCTATCAACTGAATATTTAATTCTGCAAAATTCTGTATTCGCACTTGAGTTGCTTTTTTAAAACATTTATGTCTATAGTACATGGTGTATATACAAAATGATCTCACACTCACATACAATCCAGGTGCTCAAGCTATGAAGAAAGTCAGGCCCAGGCACTCAGGAGATTGCACAAAGCAGGAATAAATATGCTTTGTGCAATATCCTGAGTGCCTGGACCGGACTTTTTTCATAGAGTACATGGTGGATTTTTCTCTAATAAAATGACGTCTCTTGAAGCCTAAATATTAGCATTTGTAATTATTTGATGCTTGTTCACAAAATCTTTCCTCTGCTATATGAATATTTGTTTACTTTAAGTATGGGTGTTTTCCCAAGGTGCTTTAATGCACCGGTCAGTCAAAAGAAGTGTGCAATAATATAAACTATATTTTTTGTTTTGTTTATACTCTTTTTGTACATTTGATGTATGTATCTCCGTATACAATTTGTCTTATATGTATTCAATATAAACGTATTGCATATATTGATGTAAAAATATAAAACCTTTAATAAAAAATATTTGAAAAGAAATGTGGAATAGTAGTACAAAACTATACAAAAAAAAACAAAAACACTGCTGCTTCTAAATCTTGAACACACCTTTCACATACAAGCCTTTGACTTTCATGGCGTGTGGATGTGAATGAAAAAGTTAAAAGGGACACTACATGCACCCAAACCACAGAGAACAGACTAGGATAGGTGACTAGGACACAACGGCATTAGGAACACACACATATATACACCTCACATTATAGTGTTTCTTTAAAGCAAAAGGACTGAAATCTTCCTCCAGACATCCAAAATAACTAGAACTCCTTTATTTTGGATTTCAATTATAGCACTGAGTATTGTCCAACTTGTATAATAGAACTCCCAAATAACAGCTTTAGCTTTTAAAACAATAACTAAAGAACGGATTGTCATCCAGTAAGACACAAATTTTGTTATTTTTGCACTAGATATATGCTGAACCATTTTAACATCATCTGTGTGTTTATGCAAATATGTTCCTTTAGCAGAAAGACAAAATTGAGTGTTTTCACTTTAAATTGCACAAGAGCATGGAACTTTATTCTGTATGCAAAACAAAACAAAACAAAACAAAAAAACCAGTGGTAGGTTCATGAACTCTGATAACAAGGTTTTCTTAATACAATCCAAGTATTTCAAATGTATGCAAGGACCATACTAGACTTGGGCACTGTGGGAGGATTTAACCTTGTAATTAACAAAATGAACGAACGAAGAATGAATAGCACATTGAAAGGTCATCCAACAAGCAAGCATATCTTCAATTAAGTCTTCATTCATTGTAATTTCGATTTGTCACCTTATGGATGAATGGACGAAATTCGGACAAAATTACAGAAGCAGAAAACAGACCTTCTAAAAGGTGCATTTCAATTAAAGAACTAAGATACCAGGATGATAAAAACACACAAACTAAGTAACATATGGAGAACACAGCAGCAGACAGGGCCAATTCAACAAGAAACCAAAGCCTCTAAATATGCACTAATATTGCTGCTTAATGAGCATCATGCAACAGGATATTCTCCTCACCTGGCCCATCCATGCAGGTGAACCCACCTAGTAGTACACAATGACAGAAGACAGGAAACCCAGTATAATAACCCTTAAATGGGTGTGAAACATGGAAGGGAATTGCACATGGATCTGTCACTAGCCTATCCTTTCTAAACCCTGATAAAGCACCTAATTGGGTATAAAATCCTTTGACAGGATAACTTGATTGAAGTTAAAGTGAAGATTCTAGATTCAAAGAAGTTCAACCATCTCCAAAAGAAACAGAACCATAACGGAGGCTTTCTTGTGGATAAAGCAGGAATGAGGGGTGCCTCAAGGCTTTCTGGGACTGGTTCTAATTTTCTAGTTGGGGGGAGGGGAAGTAACATTCAACAACCAGTGGATTCTCATGGAATGTGACTACATTAATATGAAAAACTATCTTTATAAAAAGCTGAAAAGAGACATTGCCAGACATGTGTTTTAAGGACTGAAAAATAAAGTTTATGTAAACACACTGTTCTAGTCAGAAAATGAGCACCTCCATCTTGATTCCCTGTCAATCATAGTTATAAACTCTGTCCTTTTCTCTGATTGAACAAAGTATGTGGAGAAGGAGAAAACACATATTTTAGTTTCTCCTCCACCAATGTTGATTGTGATGCAGTTAGTAAACCTGTAATATACATGCAGAGGAAAATGGAGCATCACATAAAAAAGGTTAAACACAAGTTATGTGATTTTAAGTGGCATTATTTCTAAAACAGTGGTGGTTCCCCTTTAACCCCTTAAGGACCTAACTTCTAGAATAAAAGGGAAACATGACATTTCTCATGTGTCCTTATTTAAATAAAACTAAAGTTCCATTAATAATCCCTCTGATATTTGCCAGCATTATCGCTGTAAAAACTTTATGGGAATCAACATCTTTGGGAATCCCATATTTTGCCTATCCCTGATATAAAAGCCCTAACACATTCCAAAGCACTGGAAAAGAGCATTAATTAGCAAGTAAACAATATTGTAGGATACAAATCTCCAACCATTTTTTCCCATTTCCTGCATCAACCAAACTGGTCATTCATGATTTTACTTATTTGCCTTTCATAAGATATGAGCCCTGTAATTTTGCAGTCTTTTAGAACCTAGAATGTAGATCTGGTCTTTCATATATGTCAGGATACTATGATGGCCCACACACAACATCATAGAATAAATACCAGTATGTGGAAGGTATTTTACACATATACGTTTCAGAATTGCTTTAGCCAACAGAATTGCAATATTTTATAGAGTGTTTTTTTCTGATTATTATTATTAAAAAGCACACAATGTTGTTGTACAATTAAATCAGTTGGTTTATAATTTTTTGTACTCACTCTTAACAATGCTAAGCCCAAAAAAATGAGCTTCCTTGATATCAAGGGCTTCACATATTTTGTTGAAAAGCTCCTGTCCTGTGGCTTTCGCCTGAAAGAAATAAAACATTCACCATTAACAATTTGACTACATACCATGCCATAACATGCAAAGTATAGAGCCCTCTTCGCCTATTGTTCCTGTATGTTAAGCATGTTTTCAGACCTCCTAACATTGGGAGGTATGGAATTTCCACAGGTGGGTGGATGTTCAAAGGGGTGTTTCCAACATACCTTCCAAATTCAGCATTCTGTGAAGTGGAACTCCGTTAGAAGGGGTAAAGTGGATGGACCAGTGATGTTATTCATGCCACTGGCTCTGCCCACAAAAGGAATTGGCAGGTAAGTTTGGCATGAATGCATGCCAGGCTACCTGACAAGTCGGTGGGCCCAACAAGGTAGATCATGCAGAGAGCACTGTGTCAGTGCTCTATGCAGGGTCCTAATGCCTTGAGCTCAGCACAACTACACCTAATGATGAATTCAAACTATGCTTGTTGGGGGCCATTCCCTGGTGTTTCCAAAAGTAGGACAACATGGAACAAAGTCATAATGGAGGAAAGCACCCATAAATTGTGACTGTCTCACCAAAATCAGAATGTTGAGAGATCTGCTCGACAGTGATGCAACTTGCGTCCAGGCAACAACCATAGTGGGTGGGGAAGGCCAGTAAGTTGGCATGCTCAACCACTAAGGGGGCATGTCAGCCTGGTGTCAAGCCTCTCGCCCCGTTTCCAACATACATGCACTACTGAAGCACTCTCTGTATAGTCCTAGTTTTTGCTGGGTAGTGCATCTGCCCAGGGACAGTTCACTGGTGTGAGACAGCAGAACTGCACCCTGTTATCAGGACGGTCAAGAGTGGTACAGTTGGCAGCCCTTTGTTTTGTTCATATACATAGTATTTTATACAAGCATAAAAACAAACCATAACATTTTATAGAATAATGTATTTATTTTGTTTTACCATGGAAAAACAAAGGGAACCTCTCACTGCTACAAATTCACTTAAAATTACTAAAAGAAAAATATTTTCAGACATTTTGGCACATACCTTATTATATGATCTATATTTCTCAGACAAAGTTGCATTCCAACATGCTAAAATTAGTACAAATTTCCAAAACTAAAGAAGTCCCAGTGCTTCAAATTTTTAAGCCCCAGCAGGGGATTGCAATGCATTCCAGTGGGATTACAAATTACCTCTTAAAACGTGTTTAATTGAAATGTGACTTGTTTTTCATATTCTCCTTAAACACAAAGACATCAAACCTTCAGGTTGTTAGTTTTGAAGTCACCATAATGTTGACAGTACTTGGACTGGTGCGGTTTATAGATTTTCAATAACGAACAAAGACCAGTGCTGTGCTGAAGTGTATAAGAATGAGTGAAACTACTCAGTTTGAGGCCTATTTAGATCCTGAGCTTAAAAGATGGGAACGTAAAAATGGTTTAGAACATGTAGATTTGTTTTTCGATGTTAAGGGGCATGTTGCATTTTTCTACATCATAAATAAAAATGTGGGTTGAAAATATAAAAAGAAATCTTAAGAAAGGTGGTTTTCCAGCAATTTTGCCCAAAAATGCATATTTGTAATAATATTTCAAAAGCTGCCATATATGAGACAAGAACACAATAAACCTTACATCTGTACATTTGAAAAAGAGCACATGGCACTCACCCCAACCGTTACATCCAGTTGTTCTCTGTTGGGCAGCCAAACACAAACATTGTGGATCTCATGTTCTGGCATACTGGCTTGGAATAACGGCCTGCTCATAATGAAGGTCACGGGAGCAGATAGTCTTGAATTCTTTTTCTTTACTAGGATGAAGTTGCCAGAAACCCTTCTCAATGTAGAACCCTAGCTCTCATCACAATGTTTCTATGAACAAGGAGAAAAAAAAAAAAAAGTCAAAAACAATGCAATGTGGATTTAAACATGTTGATTTTTGAAAGTAAAGAAAACAGGTCGAACATGTCTGCATATTTCTAAAGAATGTTTTGCCATTCAGACGATACAAACCACATATCTAGTAAACATTCTCCCAAGCTTTACCATCTATTCAAATTTAACTAATTCACTTATCATTCCTTACCATAGGCTATGTAGGTGGAAAAGTGAAAACATGGGAGTTTTGGGTGAGAAATACTACAGACCCCAACAATCCTTTCCCTTATTTGTTACATTATCTACCACTCTGCTGTTTAGTGGCAACACGATCATGCACAGGGCATAATGGCATTTTAAGTTGAAATAGAAAATATGACAAATATGAGCAAGTCTCATTGACACATTTCCTTCTAGAGCAGGGGCAGGCTACCTTCGGCACTCCAGATGTTGTGGACTACACCTCCCATAATACAGCCATATTGCTAGTTCACAACATCTCAAGTACCAAAGGTTGCCTATCCCGCCTATTGAGTATGCGACCTGTGCTATTCCAGTTAATGTGGACTACACCTCCCATAATCCTCTGTCTGACCTACAGCATTAGCACCAGTGATATCAACAGCCCAAATCAACAAGTGGTATTGAATAGTTTCCAGTTGCATACTCAATTCAAATGTTTACATTTCGAAATACATTTTTATTTCAAAAGACAATATAAAAACATATTTGCAACATAATGTAACTACATAAAGTGAGATTTTAATAACATTCAAAATTTTAGTAAATACATAAATGGTAAGGTAAGAAGCTTAAGGAAGGGTGATAAGGTTGATACAATAACACAAATGAGCTAAATATAACATTTGTCACTAGACCAAAACAAGAGCCTTTTGATGACAAGGTTCTAAAATATAAAAAGATTTGACCCTTTGCACTAAACCACCTACTCTACACAAGCAATGTCTAGCTCTGTGAGAAATATTTTTGTTTAATAGATAACTTAAAGAGACAGCTTAATGTAGTTGCTCTGGTGTCTACTGCCTGTCCCTGCAGGCTTTTTAATGTAAACTCTGTCTTTTCAGAGAAAATGACTGCCTTGTAACACCTCTAGTGTGCAGCATTGACATTCAGCATCTCCACCCACTGGAGGGAGGCGCTAAACATTCCTAATAGAGATGAATTGATTGAATGCATCTCTATGAGGAAATGCAGATTGGTGCTGTGCGGTGTTTTGCTGCACATGCACAATAGCCTCTATTTGTTTCTTATGGGAAAGCATTGAATTGGTTGAGGTCATCAGTTTTGATGATCTCAGCCAAGGAGGTGGAGCCAGCCACTGCAGACCCGCACAGTGCTGGAAAAAAAGGTAAGTTTATTTTTTTAAAGTGTGCCAAGGGAACCCAGGGCCCTATACTGCATTTTTAACACCATAGTGACAGGAATACACATTTGTATTCCTGTCACTATAGTGTTCCTTTAAGAATTGTAGATTTTTAACTCCAAGAATAAGAAATTAACAGATTTTTTCATCTACAGTACAAAAATGCAAGATGCAAGACAATTATTTTTAGTGGAGCATTAGAATTTTTAAAATGCCTTTTATTTAAATTTTTTTCACTTCAATTAAGAATAGCAGCAGTATTGTATGTGTTTAATTACCATTAACCAGATTGACGCATTCAGTTACTGATAGTAAACCTAATTATGACTAAATGTAAAAGTAAAAAATGTAAAAATTACTTTTCTCACAATACTCACCTCTATCCTGTCCATCCTTTAATGACTTGCTAAATTTTTGAATGCGGTGTACCTCCAGTTCAATTTTTATTGCTCGAGGCTTACTGGGCATGCACAGCTTTGTACATCTCCATAGTAATATATACACACACACAAGTTTAGCGCGGATTCTGAAACTAGTTTCCCCAGTCTCATACTATGGGCAAAGAAGGCAGTGTGACATTACGTCGCTGCCAAAAATTTGAAGATGACGGCACCGGCAATGAGGATCAGGTGCCACGACAAATAAATAATATAATGTTAGTGCAGGTGTTTTTAGAAGCCAAATTTACATTGCTGGGACTCTGATAAGGCGTACAGTTGAGGCGGCCTATAAAGTATATGGTTGCGACAGAGCCACTTTAAAGAGTTCCTCTTTGTATATTTAAAACGGTGGGAGGTATGATATATGAATTGTATAGGAAACCTACATTCTTTGAGAGAGTCTATGCAGCAAGTGTTCCAGCCAAAACAATTAGACTTCAGCAATGCAAGACTTTATTTATCAACATTTCAAGTCTTGGATGGCCTTACCTATCCCAGACATTGGGAAGCAGATTTACTAGGTTTACTAGGTTTAGAGGAAGAAGGTACTTTGGAACGTACTATTTTGGAGGCAGATGCACAAGTCTTGTTGTTTGTGACCTTTCAGGAGCAACTGTTTAAGATTATGTTTAGGTGATATACTAACATGGTTAAGTAATTAAGGATGGACAAATTGTTGAATGATATTTGGTGGAGGAAATGTGGACACAAAGTCATGCTGTTGTCTGGAGGTTGTCAACCTTTGGAAACAAGTAAAAAAAAAAAAATGTACTAGACAGGGCCTTTTAAAGGCCTTTTGACTTTGACCCCTGATCCTGATTTTGCTATCCAGGTCTAAAGAATGACTTCCGTGTCAATTTCAAAGAGTGTATGATAAAAATTACTTGTTGCTAGACACATTTTAGAACAGCATTTTGGCTTAAAGCAGCACAGTCACTGTCTGGGGACAGTGCAGAATTTTCAATCATTGTGACATTGCTGCTGGGGGGGTCCGGTTATGGCGGAGCCAAAGGTCACCAAGTTCTACTTACCTGAACCCTTTTCTTAAAGATGATGTCATTTTCATCTGGCAGGTCCTCTTCAGCTCCTGGTTTTTCAATTTCAGGAGCCAACATCACTGTTGTACTCTTACGCATGTGCAAGTGTACAGCATTGAGGTCTATGGAGGATCCTGAAACACTGCGGAATCCTCCATTGATATAGATATCAGTGACCACTGCAGGTTCTAAGTGGCAGGTCCTATTTGTCTCAGTATATCACTTGGATTGGAATTTAATTTTAAATCTAACTGCGTCAATATGAGCATTTCAAATATTCTATAGTTTTTTTTGACAGTGCCACTTTAAACCTTTATTAATCGCTTTATACAAACTTTGCCATCTTTTCCTAGTAGTACCCCCTTTACCACTATTATATTTTTATTTCTGTAAAACTAAAGGCATAGGCGTGCGCACGGGGTGTGCCTGGGCACACCCTAATCCCCGTGGCACGCCTATGGTTTGAGTCCTGCAGGAACAGCGTTCCTGCACTTTTTTTGAGCAGGAACGCTGTTCCTGCAGGCACTCAGCGCCCCCTGTTTCACCTCTTGCCCCTGTCATGGGGAGGGCAAGAGGTGATGGATCCGCACCACCTCTCGGCAGCTCAGCCGCAGCGAGGGAGCTCTCTGCTGTCTGCTCTCTGCTCCCTCTCGAGAGGGGGCAGACAGCAGAGAGCTCCCTCGCCGTGGCTGAGCTGCCGAGAGCGCCCGCCCCACTGGACCCCAGGGAAAAGTCCACGCCAGCACTCCAGGTAGGAGGCTGGATGGACATTTTTTTTAAATTAAAATGTAATAATTTGTTCTTATGTGTGAGTGTGTGTGTGTCTGTGTGTGAGTGTCTGTGTGTGTCTGTGAGTGTATATGTGTGTGAGTGTGTCAGTGAATGTGTGTCTGTGTGAGTGTGTTTCTGTGAATGTGTGTGTGTGTGAGTGTATGTGTGTGTGTCTGTGTGAGTGTGAGTGTGTCAGTGAGTGAGTGTGTATCTGTGAATGTATGTGTGTGAATGTCTGTGAATGTGTGTGTGTGTGTGTACGTATATATATATATATATATATATATATATATATATATATATATATATATATATATATATATATATACACACACACACACACACACACGCAGCCGGCGCTATCTGAGTGCCGGCTCTGCTCTAAGCCTCCATGGGCCGGCGGGGAGACCAAAGATCTACCTCACCGGCCCACAGCAGCATGGAGGGAGGCAGGAGAGGACCCAGGGAGCTCTAGACAGAAGCTCCGCCAGGTTCCTCTCGCGATATCTGAGCGTTGCTGCGGCAACGCTCAGATCTCGCGAGAGTTAACTCTAGCCCCACAGGCTAGAGTTCACTCTCCACTGGACCACCAGGGATGGCACATGGCAGCAAGGATTTACTAATCTGCCAAATCCCTCCAAACATACAGCACAAACACATACAGTACACTAACCGCACCCTCACAAACACACACAGCACCTTTAAAAAAAACACAACACCCTCACACACAAACAGCACCCTCACAAATACACGACACTCACACAAACAGCACCCTCACAGGACAAACATACACACACAAACAGCACAGTCACAAACACACACACACAGCAGTGTATGTGTATATATACATACAGACATACACATTATATATATATATATATATATACACACACACACACACACACACACAGCGTGTGTTCATGCTTTAGTGTGCACACCCTAAGGCAATAGGCTGCGCACGCCTATGACTAAAGGACTATTACTCGTGATAGTATGTATTTCTGAGCTCACGTATGTATCCCTGGCTTTAAATAAAGAAAAAACAAACACACACACACTCTTTAGTTAAGTTAAAAATAAAATCCAAAAATTTTCAGTTTGCCACCTGAACGCATTGTAGCACTTTTTATTATTATTACTTTTTATTTTTAGTATTTTATCGTTTGTTTGCACTTTGAGTGATTAATTGTAATGAAGAAAGACAAGATATATTTATCAAACATGATATAAACACAGATGCTCTTCACTTATCCAAAGTCTTTCATGCAGCCCATCTGTTACGCTGCACATATGACAGATTTTGACCTTGTAGCCTCAATTAAGTACCAAAAGCTGACTAAATACATACAAGTGCATTCATTACTGATAAAGTCAATCACTTGTCTCTTTTGGCGCCTATAATTTGTTTTAATGGATGAGGTTTTCCTAAGACAAGTGGACTTCAGGATTATGTCTGTCAGCAAAAATTTGACCTAAATTACATTCCTCATTAGTAAACTATAGAGTCATTTTTTTAACAAGAGAGTTAAAATGCTAATGTAGTGGAAAAACATAGGAACTCATTTTAAGATAAAGCATGAAAGCATTATTCATATCACCAGTACAAACATAAATATTTATTTTTATTGTGGGTTTTTTTATTTTATTTTTTTTAAATATTGATTTATGCACATCCTCTTCATTTAAGGAATTAAACACAAAGATCAGAATACAATATGGGCCCAGAAGCATTAGGCCTAAAAAATAAAATAAAAAAATTATAGGTCTTCAGATTGTGGAACATTTTCACCCAAAAAAAAAAAAAAAGGCTTACATTTTTTAAAGATTTGTAAGCAATTTAAATTTGTAAAATAATTTAATACAGGGAAAAAAAAAATCTAAAAGATAAAGGGTATATGGTAAAAAAATAAAAAAAAATAAAAAAAAATAAAAAACAAAAAGGATACTACATAGTAATAGACCAAAAATTATTTACAGACAAAATAGTAAACACACAAACCCAGTATACATTTTCCAAAAACATTTTAGATTTGAAGACATTTAAGACAGTACCGATTGACATTTAGGAAGGAAATTACACACAATATATATATATATATATATATATTTTATTTATTTATTATGACCAAAATTCTTCAAAATATAAAGAAAGTGCCAACCAAGAGTATAGTTAGAATAGATAAGGAAAGCTGTGGAAAGAAAAGAAGCTAAATAATTAACAGATATGGTAGAGGCCAAAAGAAAGGACAATTTAACCATTTAAATCAGTACGATGGAGCTAGGAAGAAGGTGAGTAAACAGTCTCCCCCTACAGATATTTACATCTACACATTTAGGTAGCTTCTACCGTTCTGCCTCTTTCCAAATCTCTTTATTGAACTCTGCAGGTCAATGGCACTATGGTTATGGAACTAGCTAGAGCTGAATTGTGCTTTGCAACAGCGAAAATAATCCTGCAGAAAAAGTCCACACTAAAGTGATTATATTGTCACCACAAAGGGGAGATGATCTATATAGAAAAAAATATCTACATATGCTGCAACAATTCCCAAATATTCTGTGGCATTCAAATCATGTAGGTCTGGTACTAAAAGATGTTAGGATTCCATTCCAAATACACAATTTTGTCACCAAATGTCCATATACACAATTTACATATTGCAGGATGAATATTTTTTATACCTTGCAACTCAGTACTTGAGAATCCCTTAAAGCAGATCGGTCACTAAATTCTCCCCGGTCCCCCAGCCCTGTATGTCCCTCCTTCAAGCTCCCCTGACTCCTTCCACAAATTTGGTGACCCCGGGAACGGTGCTACTTATGTTTTCTTCCTAGATGTCATCTACAAGTTTCCAAGATGGATGCTGCTTGAAACCGCTTCTTCCGACCTAGTATATCGAGTGTCTAAATAGACAGTCGATGACATGATGCTGCTGAAAGTGATGTGTCACTGGAAGGTGGTGAGTTAGAACACGACAACCAGTGACAAAAGAATATAGAGGTAGAATAAAGCTCCACCTTTTGCAGTCCCTACTTTTCCTTCTGCAAAACTTCAAAAATTTAATTTAAAAAAGGGCTCTTCAGAGGGGGATGTGGACATAAGACAAGTGTGTAAAAAAAATTATTTAAAAAATAAAAAACTAACAGATGCGCTTTAACAGTTACAGAAATTCTTGAACTCTTTGAAGGTAACAACTTAATACCATGGTCACATTCATGCATCTTCACATTATGTTTTCTTTGGATAACAAATAAATCTCTCAGAATAAGTCCACATTGGTGTATCCATGGTAATATATTTTGTTTACAAGGTCACACATAATATTTCACATTCATTAATAGTGTAAAAATAACCAAGTAAAAAAAAAAAAGTTAAAAAAAACCTTACTGAACAACATTTTTTTCTCTGTGATGCGTGCAAGTATTTGATCAGTAATAGCTCAGGTAATTCAAGAACAAGACCAGGCTAGCCCTCCTGACAAATTTTAGGCTCCAAAGATGGACAGACTGTCTGTATTGTGACTTTCATGTCTCCCATTTGTCTTCTTTTTATCATGCTTCATGGATGTGAGGCTTAGTTTAGTTTTAACATTTCAGGAGAAAAAAAAATAAAGTATACAAATTAAGATTTTAAAGCAGTGATCTGAAGTTACGATTTGTAATGAGGCACAGAAAAAAAAAAAATGTAAGCAGGCACCCAAACCTAGTATCAATATTAGACATGCAAAGAATTGTAGAAAGGCACTAAGATAAAAAGAAAAGAATCTTTGATGGGGTATATCTTTGCAAACACATCTTTCATGGGGATGAAAGCAGCCATGGCCCACTGCTTTCAACTAAGACATTCCAGTATTACAATGTTTATGGAGTTCGGCCAAGGATGTGAATTAAGAAATTTTAGGTCTTAAATATAACAATCTATAACAATTTATGCAAATGTAATTTAGCAACACATCTTATTTACATAGACTGATTTCCAAACACATTTAGTGTAGTTTACTACATTACTATGAGCATTATTGCCGTGGAATTCTATTATATACCCAAGACAATATAGAGCTCCTAGGAAAGTGGGACACTAGGATTGAAAAGATGGACACAGGGATTTAGGCCCTTAATAAGGAGAGTTTAGGAAGTATGTAAATGTCTGTCTATCCTGTATGTTTATGGTATGTATCACCCATTTCAGTAAAATTGCAACACAGTCAGTGAGTATTTCATAAAGAGGGTGGAGGTTGACAGAGCTGCTTTAATGAAGTAGTAATCAAGGATTCAATGTGTTTTTTCTTATTTTTGTAGTAGTGCAAATGTAACCCAATATACAATAAAGTGAACATGCATATCTCTGATGCCCCAGATGTCCACTGCACAGTTAATTCTGTGGCCAAATGCATTAACGGAGGCATAGCCTCTTCCAAGTCATTATTTCCTGGAAAAAGATTAGAAACAGACAAAATCCCCATAACTCCAATCTTTCCGTGCCCGGGCCCCATAATTTGTGTAGTTACAGATGTATAGCTCAAACACAATGACCCATTTTTCTCCCCCGAGAAACACTGTATAACACATTTAGCATTAAACGCCATCTACTTGGCATAATGTATTACAGATTTTTATATGCGGCTTTCTATGTATATTATATATAGATTTTGTTCATCTGTTGCACATATATATGCATACATAAATTAGTTTATACAATAAATTGTATTACACAAATACACACACACACACACACACACACACACACACACACACACACACACAGCTTTTGTGGTTGTCATACATTCCCATGGTCGATGCCATTATCCCCTCAACCTCACCAGCCAAGTACCAAGTGAGGTCAGGCATAAAAAAATTTAAACTGACAAATACAAAGGCATGCAGAATGCTGCAGATGTACAAAAAATGAGTGAAGAGTTCTGATAGGTTTTTAAAAGGATAACTTTTTGCAGAAAATGTGTGATATGGCAAGTGTTCACATAAAAAGAAAAAACAGATATATACATTCACTGCACATTGCAGATAAAATTAAGATAAGAGGGGGCGGGGCCTGACCTTAATGGCGGCAGGAAGCATTCTGTTAGAGCTCCTCGCCTAGCCAATTAATCCTTTGATTCCATCGCCTCTCAGGGAATTATTCTGTCTCAGTTATTATTATTATTATTATTATTGCCATTTATATAGCGCCAACAGATTCCGTAGCGCTTTACAATACAGTTCAATCCTGCTACTCACCTGCTGAGCAGAGGTTACTTGTAGTGCCCTGACATCTTGGCTCCTGCTGGTGATTGGCAGGAGGCTTTGTGCGGCCTAGTACTGAAGCTGGCTGGGAGAAGCGGCCACTCTCCCGAACCCCACCTTCGGGCCTGTTACCCCACTCAGGACCGGCGGGGGTTATCCCGGTCCTCACCCCAATAGCTGCCCTACTACAACAGTGCTCCATGGCGTTACGCAGTTACAGATGGCTCTGGTGTGATTCTTCCAAGATGGCGGAAGCCGCATGTACCACAGATCCCCTGGGAGAGGTGCCCAACATCCTATAGCGGCTAGATGCACTGTTTGCTGCCTTCTGGAGGAAGCTGAGTGACAGGAGAACCCAATCAATACCCAAGGTACCTGCACCACCTCAGAGAACGCTCCACAGTGCCCAACGCCATAAAACACGTCCAAGATGGCGAAGGCCTTCCCGACCTACCTCAAGGAAGGTGAAGAGCAGATCAAAGTCATCTGCACCTACCCTATGGGCAAGCATGTGGACCATGCAAAAGGAAGCAGGTTGTCGAGGGCAGCAGCTAGGCACAGGGAACTCCCAGCTGATATTGACACTGGGCAAGCTGAATGGCAATATCGCATGGCACTGCACCATACCCATAACAGGAATTGGCTGACCGCAAAGTTGAGACCCCTTTTACATGTCTGCACATAGCCTGTGGATGTAATTTGCTAGCTGGAGTGTTCTGCTTGTGAGACAACACCGCAGAGGCATTTTTTCTTAATGTTATATTCCATTGAATCTAGCCTGATTACTCTATCTTTGTTTCCTTTACGTTTGCCTGTTTATCTCATAGAAGTGGACTCTTGCAAACCTATCTTGAATGTCTTATTAAAAACGTGCTGGTTAGGTACGGAGTAATTCGTGAATATGTGATTTAACAGGAAGGGAGGAGTGTTTTAAATTGACTGTTCACCATGATTCATAAGTGTTGTACGGTCATTTTTGATTCCATGTCTGCTTTTGTATTTTCTATCAACAATAATTTAGAAAAAATTAATAAAGAATAAACAAATGGAAAAAAACGTGCTGGTTTTCTCCGAAATGCAGGGCCGTCTTTACCGTGGGGCAAATGGGGCAGCTGCCCCAGGCATAGTTACTTCTGGGGAGCCCGAAGCATCTGCACCGTGGGCCCCACTGGCCTCAAGCATTTCTCCCACCCGTCTGTGCAGCCGCTCACTAAGGAGGCCCACTGGGTGGCCCTTAGTGCATGGGCCACCCGGTGGGCTTCTGTCAGCAGGGGCCCAGTCTTGCGCTTTAAGAGTGCGATCGGCCCTCTTGCTTTTTGGCAGCCGGCTGGGAGGAAGTGACGGTCGCAGGTCACCTCCCCCCCATAAAGAGAGGAGCCGCGCAGGAGGAGGCAGAGCGGAGTGGGTCTGGGCAAGCTAGCCAGACCCCAACTCCCAACAGCTTCAGCCACCAGTGGGAAAGCCACCCTACAAAGTAGGAAACTGGAGGGTGGGTTTAATAGTGTAAATTTTGTGTGTGTGTGTGTGTGTGTGTGTGTATCAGTGAATGTCTCAGTATGTCTGTATGTCATTATGTCTGTCAGTGTATGTGTCAATGTGTGTGTGTCTGTATGTCTCAGTATGTCTGTCAGTGTATGTGTCAGTATGTCTGCCTGTGTGTGTTAATATGTCTGTCAGTGTGTGACAGTTTGTCAGTGTGTATGTGTGTCAATATGTCTGTCAGTGTATGTGTCAGCATGCCTGTGTGTGTGTTTGTGAATGTGTGTCAATATGTCTGTCAGTATGTGTGTGTGTCAGCATGTCTGTTAGTGTATGTGTCCATATGTATGTCAGTGTGTGCATGTCTGCATCAGTTTTGATCTTTGTGTCAGTATGTCGATGTGTGTGTGTGTGTGTTGGTGAATGTGTCAGCATGTTTGTCAGTATGTCTGTGTGTCTCTCAGTATATATCTGTTGGTCAGTATGTCTGTGTGTCTCAGTATATATCTGTCAGTTTATGTGTCTGTGTAAGTATGTTTATCAGTGTATGTGTGTCAGTTTGTCTGTATATAAGTGTGCGTATCTGTATGAAGTGTGTGTGTGTGTGTATATGCATATGTGTCAGTGTTTGTATCTTTGTGTATGTCAGGATGTGTATCAGTGTGACTGTATGTGTGTCAGTATGTGTATCTGTATGTTATTAGTATGTGTGTCTGTGTATCGATGTGTCAGGTTGTGTATTTGTGTGTCACTGTGTGTGTATATATCTATGTGTCTGCATGTATTTCAGGGTGTGTATATCTGTATTGTATTAAGAGTGTGTTTTTGTATATATGTGCATACATCTCAACATTCACATGCTAACACTACACACAAATACACCCCTGCATTCAAACTTCAGCACTACATACAAATACACATCTGTGTTAAACACCAACATTATATGTATACACAGCCCTGCTCGCTAGAGCAAGCTGTAGAGGTTATGGGGCCCATAGTTTCCCCTTTTATTCAGGTTATGGTTGTATTTTATATCCATTTGTTTTCAACCAACATTCATCAAGATGCTAAACTGTTGTTGTTTTTTGCCTAATTATTTTAATTTAATTGACTATCCTTTTGAACATTACTGGATACTTGTACAATTTAAATTCATGTAAACGCACTAAAATATTTTTCCATTAACTGGAATCAAAACTTCCATTCACCATCTTGCCCTTAGTGAGCATAAGCCCCTGTCTACAGTATGGGAACTATATTACAACTAGTAATAAATCAGCACAGTTTTACATGTTTTTGTTGTAATCACCATGGTATCACCATGATAATGCAGAATTAACGGATATTTAGGGAGGAGACAAAATGCCTACTTTTAAAAACAAGTCATGAATTTACAACAAAAAATGCTTGATGCATAATCATTCCCACATATATAGAAACAGAAACCCAACCACTACATTCCCAAGGACAAACATCCATTACCTCTAAACATAGGCTTGAGTCTACAAATTTACATAGATCTAATTATTTTATAGGATTGTTTTATTTAAATAGGATTTCTCTTAATAAAATGCTTTTGGAGTAAAGAAATATATAAATAACAGGATAAATTAGACTTGTACTGTGACCTTCATAAAACTGTTAACAGTCAGAATCAGGCATACACATCCCAATCATCAACTGGGAAATAGGCTAAATGGGTCAAATAGCAATTAGAATCTATGCAGACGGTTATAAACTTTTCAGACGAGAGCTATTAATAGTGCCTGATAAGTGATAACGAATGTAATCAGCAGTATGGATTTATGAAATTATCTGCTGATGCCAAGTCAAATACTTGTAATGTGTCAAATTTATGACTTGTACTTTATACCTTACATAAAAAAAAAAAAAAAAACCTCTCAGACAAACTTTGACTTGTAGTCTTGACAAGGAAATTAATTGTAGAGTGAAATACATTGCTGACATTCCAACTTTTACTGCACATGAAAACTAATGTTTAACCATTCTGCACACTTTTTAAATGTGTTTGGATTATAAAAAGTCTGGCCAGTAACACTGAAAAGCGCATTTATCCTAAAATGTTTTGTTGTTTTAGCAACATCGTTGTCATTTCCCTTGCAGAATTTAGTAATAAAATAAAGTAGAAAATGGATCTCTAGAATGTAAGCTCATGGAGCATGGCCCTCCACCGCCTCTGTTCCTGTACGTCCAGTTGTCTGGTTACAATTACATGTCTGTTAGCCCACCCATTGTACAGCGCTACGGAATCTGATGGCGCTATATAAATAATATAATCCAACAGGTTACTCCTCCAGGCATTATGAAATGACAAACCCATGATGCTTTTCTAGCATAAATGTTGTTAAACTAGGTTCTTCAACTGTTTGGGGGTTGTAAGATGCAGGAGGTAAATTTTACTTCCCTCAGGCTGTCGCTCACAACCATCTTCTTTCTTCTGCCTGTTGTCCTCTTCAGCTCCTGGTGCTTCCGTTGCCACAAGTCACATTAGAGCTGTACTCTCGAGCATATGTGAGAGTACCACATTGAGGGTTATCGAAGATCTCTACGTAATACTCCATATATAAAGCCTGAATCCCACAGACTTTTGTTAAGCCTGCTGGGATTGGACAAAGGTTGACAATGGATCACTGCCTTTTGTCAACTTTTGCCAACCTCAGGCTTTAACAAAAGACAAAGTAGTCCCTACTTTGTCCAGCGTTGGAATTTCAATGAAATGATATCGTTATGAAATACTGAATAGGGACATATCAGCTTTAAACAAGAGGACCCAAAGAGGGAAATTAATGATATAATGTGTTTTATACCCCACCTCCTATAGACTGTAAGCTAGTTTGAGCAGGGTCCTTTTCAACCTATTGTTCCTGTAAGTTTTCTTGTAATTATCCTATTTATAGTTCAATCCCCCCCTCTCAATAGTGTAAAGTGCTACGGAATCTGTTGGCGCTATATAAATGGCGATATTAATAAAAATATATTTAGAGTAAAAAGTGGAATAGGAAAGAATGTGATCGAATGAAACTAAAATAATGCAAAAAAAAAATTAAAATCAGTTAGAATAGTTGAAGGTACTAAACTTACCTACAACCCGTAAGATCATGCATGTACAGAGGAGGTTATTAACAAAATTGGCTGAAATAGTCAAATTGGATAAAATTGTTCCTGTCAGCAATGTTTTCAGTTAAGCTATTCTAAAAAAAAAAAAAAAAAAAATTATAAAAAAAAAGGATTAATGAGAATTTCGGAAAACTCAAAAAACATTAGTAAAAACCATTAGTAAATAACCCATTATAGGGAAATTCAAAGTGAAGTGAATTTAAATTCACGAAACTGGCAGATTTGTTTTGATTTTTTGTTTTTGTTTAAAACAGTTCAGCTATTTGGGCCTTAAATGTTAAAGTCTTCAATTCAGCTCTCCCCATAGTGCAAATTGTACCCAAATACTAGATGTTCATTAGAAAAAAAAAAAATACAAAAAAAAGGAGGTAAACGCTATACTAATAAAAATAAAAAGGCCTATTCACAATAAAGGACAAATCAAAAATCTAAATAAATCCACTGTCCAAGGAAACCAATAAATGGATGAATATATGTCCCAATATCCTTAAACCGAAGAAGCCAGTCTGTAGTCAGACAGAATCAGAGCATCATACAGAATACATTAATCGGACTGTTTTGATAAAGTATCACTGTCCATGAAACATGTAGATTTCATTCCTCTGAAAGTTTTAGGAGAGAGTTTTTCCACTGTATGTCAATTACATCTATTTTAAGAATATTTTGAATAACACATTTGTTTTCATTCTGGGAACGAGCAGTGGTGACAATTTTTCAGGAATGCATAGCCTATTTTTTTGTAGACATGTCCATGACCACTGAACATTAATGTAATTGTAACAGAATACATTTGAGAAGTGACATTTGACCATGTATATGGTGAAATTAAATACATAGATTTAAAATTGTAATTTAAGAACCATTTCTATTACATCCTGTTGTAATGACTACGGTGCAAGCTAGCATTCAAATGGGTGCCGTAGCCCTTTACTAGGTCAAAATGTTTGAACCGTTTGACAAAAACCAGGGATCCCTGAGGAACAGCTCCAACCGATTGTATTTTTATTGCAGAAGTTCCATTTTCATATTAGAAGTATAAATTTCATCCTTACTGTTCGTATAATTATAAAAGTCTTAAGCAATATTTACAGAGAGGCACAATACACACACACAGTATCTCACAAAAGTGAGTACACCCCTCACATTTTTGTAAATATTTTATTATATCTTTTCATGTGACAACACTGAAAAAATGACACTCTGCTACAATGTAAAGTAGTAAGTGTACAGCCTGTATAACAGTGTAAATTTGCTGCCACCTCAAAACAACAACACACAGCCATTAATGAACTGTAGCTCCCCAGTGCCGGCAGCACTCATGCAGGCCCAGACCATGACACTCCCACCACCATGCTTGACTGTAGGCAAGATGCACTTGTCTTTGTACTCCTCACCTGGTTGCCGCCACACATGCTTGATACCATCTGAACCAAATAAGTTTATCTTGGTCTCATCGGACCACTAGATACGGTTCAAGTAATCCCGGTCCTTAGTCTGCTTGTCTTCAGCAAGACTGTTTTTGTGCATCATCTTTAGAAGAGGCTTCCTTCTGGGATGACAGCCATGCAGACCAATTTGATGCAGTGTGTGGCGTATGGTCTGAGCATTGATCCCCACCCCTTCAACCTCTGCAGCAATGCTAGCAGCACTCATACGTCTATTTGCCAAAGGCAAACTCTGGATATGATGTTGAGCACGTGCACGCAACTTCTTTGGTCGACCATGACGAGGCCTGTTCTGAGTGGAACCTGTCCTGTGAAACCACTGTATAGTCTTGCCCACCGTGCTGCAGCTCAGTTTCAAGGCTTTGGCAATCTTCTTATAGCTTAGGCCATCTTTATGTAAAGCAACAATTCTTTTTTTTTTTAGATCAGAGAGTTGTTTGTCATGAGGTGACATGTTGAACTTTCAGTGACCAGTATGAGAGCGATAACACCAAATTTAACACACCTGCCCCTCATTCACACCTAAGACCTTGCAACGTTAACGAGTTACACCGGGGAGGGAAAATGGCTAACTGGGCCCAATTTGGACATTACAACTAGGGGTGTACTCACTTTTGTTACCAACGGTGTAGACATTAATGGCTGTGTGTTGAGTTATTTTGAGGGGACAGCAAATTTACACTGTTATACAGGCTGTACACTTACTACTTTACATTGAGCAGAGTGTCATTTCTTTAGTGTTGTCACATGAAGATAAAATATTTACAAAAATGTTGAGGGGTGTAATATAATATAAATTTATATACACACACACACACATACTATAAACCACCACCTATAACACAAACAAACAAAAAAAAAAACCACAAAGCAAAACACACACATTATATATATATATATATATATATATATATATATATATATATATATATATATATATATATATATATATATATACACACACACACACATACATTTTTTATTTATTTTTTTAAAACTATGGTCGAGAAAGAAATCACACTACACAAAAATGAAAACTTCACACTTTTTCCATACAGTGACTGTTCATTCTTATAAAATGTGTCATTTCATAAACAATATTTTAAACCAGGTAGAGAATTTCTAATTTTAATCAGACACAAGGACTGCACTGAGGTTGGGCTAATATTACCAACAAACAAAAGGGCTGGAATTAAAGAGAGGCAGTTTTGCAGCTGGAAGACTTTGATCTTTAGCTGCCTAAGTCTAAGAGATAAGTCTATCCATGCAAGACGCTGAAAATTACCATGTCAGCAACTACAATTACACATATGAAGAAGAAAGAGAAAAAAATATTTCTGGCTTTTAATCTTTGTCTGCATGTGGATGATTAAAACGTGTAGATGTACACAGCTGACGGGACTACAAGATTTTCCCATCTTGTACCTGCTTGAGAGATCAAAAAGACATCTGGCATAACCTTTCAAGTGCTTAATACAATAAAGGTTTGTTTTTACAGTAAGGAAAAAAAATATCCAAGTACAATTACCACCTCTGTATATACCCACACACACACACACACATTACATGGAAACTTGCATAATTTTATTTATTTTTTTAAATATTTTTATTTATTGCATTCTTATTGGGATGCTGACATTACAGACTATTACTATCACCAGCATACAGCTCTTGCATATTAAAAAAAAAAAAATATATATATATATATATATATATATATATATATATATATATATATATATATATATATATATATATATATATATATATATTTTTTTTTTTTAAAGTCATAAACCGAACACACAAAATAAAACACCTACTTTTTGGTCATATAAATGAATTAGGGTATGGTAAAAGTTATAAAAGCACATAAAAAAACATTAATAGTTGTCAAATTTGGACTAATAGTATCTAAATAGCGGTCTAGATTTAGCTTGCAAATTACACAACATAACTGTGCTATTAGAGTAGGATATGCTTGTAAAGAAATGAAATTAAAAAGTAAATAATTACAATTTCAGAAAGGTAGTTAATAACCATTCATTGGTTAGCTTTAGCATGTGTATTGCAAGGCATTAAACTGTGCCGTTAGAGTAGATTAGACTATAAACCATAAAATTGATGCAGCCGCATAGCAGTGCAAAGGGTTGATCAGTAGAGCCAGCTTGCCGACACCAGGGTGCATACCCAACCACTGTCTCCAATTCATGCAATTCATGGTTCCTGTGTCTCATTGTCCCTAGTCCTGTATCCCAGTGGCAACTGCAAATTTGCACCACAGCAGAAGCGTAAATTGGCCTGATGATAAGCTCTCCTGGTCATTGTGAGTGATAGAGGGTTGGTACCTCGGCTTGCTTGGAATCCTGGTTTTCGTGATCTATGGTCCTGGACAGGTTGAATCTGCTTCTTCTGCTGCTACTTTATCTACTGCATAGGGTCCTGGGTTCATGCTGTAGATTTGGCATTCCTATTAGCAAGAATCTCCCAGAAGCGGATATAGATTTGGTCAAATTTGGCCATCCAGCTCAGAGCTCTGGGTGTGTCATAGGCGGTTTCTCCCAGCCTGCTCCTTTGGGTAGCATCCATCACTTTGCTGTATGGGGATAGTAACAGCACAGTTACAGCCCAAGTTCTCAATAGTGGCAGTTAGAAAGTTGTATACCATCCATCAGTCCAATGGGGATTCTTATGGCTCAATGCCTCAGCAAGGAGTGCTGCCTCGGCCTAGGATTGGCCTCTTCCTCCACTGGAATGGTTAACTAGGCCACAGATGCAAAGACATTTTTGTCAGCAGATGAGGTGTCTCATTGGTTCCAAGAACCAGCAGACTTGACTGATTCTGATAATCAGCTATTTAGAAGCTTAAATCACGATATTTAATATTTATGTCTAGTTCAGAGGAGCTCAAATAAAACATCTGCAGAGCAGTCAGGCCCTGAAACCCCACATAAGCTTGTTTTAAAGGGACCTTGAGCAGGATTTGACCCATTCTTGCTCATCTGCTATGGAATAGACCTTATACAAGACAAACGGGAGTTAAATGTACATAATATCTTGTATAAGTTAAGTGAAAAGCATAGCGGAGGACTTATCTGCCACAAATCTTGTATATTGCTGTATATCTAGGGAGCACCTTGCACCATAACCTGTGCAAGGAGCATACCTTGCAATGCTACATTGAGTGTCACTTTAAGGTTCTTATACATATTTATAGAAATTAACCTGCAGGCTGCTGCATCATCTGGTATTTACTGAGTGTACAATCTATCATAAACCAGTCTTCAAGTAATCCCTGACAAACCATGACTTTTAAAGAAATTGCTGACATCTTCTGTATTTCCTTCATGTTTAAATAATTTGCCTGCTTCTTCAGGGTTTACTCTGGATCTCATTCTGTTTTCTGCATGCAGTGCAGATATCTGTACACACTTACTTTTATTTCCAAACGCCTATTCTCCCCAGTACCTTGTGCATTGAAAGAGGCAACACTACTGTATGTGAACCAATGCCATCAAAGTGCTCCCTGGCTCACTCTTTGGACTTATTGGTGTCTGACAGTTTTGTTTATGATCTTGTTGCACTACAGGGTTGGTTTCTCCTGGTATGTTCGAACATACGTACTTTCCTTGCTTGATATTTTAAATAGGAACCTTCCCTTCTATAGTAGACATTAGATTGCTTTGTGCATGTATACTTTTATGTACCTCCTTCAGCGATATGTGAATGCACCAGAGAAGAGACTAAATACTAGGAACATTTCAATGTCACATCTGACAAGACTCAACATAAAATCTTCGTCATGGGTAACTAAATGGTTAACATTGTGAAGTCTCTGCTCAAGTTCAAACTCACTGATGACATTAGTATACAATAAAGGCGATAAGTAGCACACAATTCCAGTGAGAGCAGTTTTTCCATCTATGACTATCTGCAAATTGCATACAATTTGACATACATGTGCATTAGTCTTAGAATACACTTTCCTAGCAACTTTATGTAGTGTTCTTTATAGGGATTGGCGGTATATATAAATAAGACTTTATTAGCAATAGTCATTGGGTGAAGGATCAAATAAATGCCACATTGAAGGTCATGCAAGGCTTTTGGAGTGTTGAACTACACTAGATGCTGGCACTGAGCAGGGAATACAAGGGGGAAGCAAGTTTGTGAACACATTATTTGTGAGAGAGGGCACTTATATTGTGTAAGGGGTTTGGTTCAATGTGGGCATCCAAGAGGTAGAATTAATGGGAAACTGGAGGTAAAGAATATGATAGTAAATAAATATAGATAAATGGCAGGCTGGAGGGCATAAGAATTTGAATGTGGAAAAATGGCAGATTGGTTGGCACTGGAGTTAGTTTAATGATTGTAGGACTGTGTGGACCCCCGCAAATGGAAAATAGAAAAAAACCATTATGTTGAAGGGCAGATTTACAGCGCTGGATACAGATCGCTAGTCTCTGTATTCATTGTTCAGAGGCTCTTTGTGTCGCTGTGTTGTGAGCTACATATGGCAGAATTTGTAAACTACATTAATTTGCAATTATGCTTACCTTCTATACATAATTGTGGAGTATGGTAGCATAGCCTGGCAGTGGTGTATATATAAATGCCACTGTGAAAGGGTTATCGGAAACAATTAAAATAATTATTTTGAGGGGAAAAAAATAAAAAAAAATGTACAGATAAAACATAATTTCACATGTATATTATTTATCCTATATGTTCTTTATATGTGTTTCCCCATGTTTTGTATATAGTATTTATATGTTAGAAGCACACCTAGTTAAACTCAGGCACATGCATACACACTGATGTACAGAGACACAAACACACATTGATAAATACAATCATACAGATGTTTATCTGGTTGTGTGTATTTCTGAGTGTGTCTGGCATTGTATACCTGTGTATGTGCCTGAGAGTGAGTATCCTTGTGTGTGAATGTATGACTGAGCAAGTGTGCTTGTGTCAGGGACTGTATGTGTGTGGAGGACCTGCAGGAGTCATTTTTGTTTATGGGGGCTGCCTGTGTTTTTGTGGCGAAGCTGTGTTTTAGGTCTATGTACGTGTGTATATGAATACTGTCTTTAGTGGGCGAGTGTGACATGATGAGGGAGTGTGATTATGGCAGGGTTGTTGGGGTGAGTGAAACAGGGTTGGAGGAGGTAGTGTAATATGGCGAGGGAAAGGGTGTATGAAAGTATTAAGGGGATTACTGTAAGACAGAATGAGGCAGGGTAAAGGGTGGTGAGTGTGACAGGATTAGGTGGGGTTAATGTGGGAGTGGCAGGGTGAAGGGTGGTGAGGCTGTGTTTCTGTGTTCAGCCTCCACACCCTGCAATACCTTTTTATTTTTTTGTATCCCCCAACCTGGGCAGGGATGGGGCTGTAATCAATTCCCTAGTGGACCAGTTGCCTGCCTAGTGGTCCAGTGGGCTTCCTGGTGGACCAGCAGGCTCCAGTCTGCAGCTCCACTGGGCAGAGTTGCAAAAAAAATGAGGTAGTTTTCTGGCGAGCTCTGGCACTTAAATGATAATCTGAGGCAATTCACTTATTGGCCAAAGCTTGCGAGACACACCTTCATGGTCTGCAACTGTGCACCCAGCAGAACTACAGACTAGAGGAGTCCTGCACCTGGCAGCACACCGGGTAAGCTCCCTTCTGGTGTCGAGCCCTCATCACGGGCTGGGTTAGGCGGTCTAAGGTGTAGTCAGAGACGCCTCTGACTTCAGACACAATAACCACTACAGTGCTATCTTGTGGTTATGGTGTCTGGACCCCTTTCCCCAATTTAAAGATATCACCTTTGTTAGAACGGTTTGGCTCCTTCCTGTGGTCCACTTGGTGCCACTCCCTACCCCTCCTGTACAGTGCAGTATGAGCCAAAAACTCATTAGCTAAGCCCTGCAGTGCAGAACTAGCACATGGGCAGAAAACAATCAGCTGATATAAGCTTTAATCTCGCACTGATTAGTAAAGATGGGGAGCAGTACCCAGAAGTCCAAGATAAGAAGTGAAACGATTCTAAAAATGGTACTGAGCATATGAGAAGTATTAAGAATGGCACCAATGGATTTGAAAGAGAAAAAAATTGCTCACAGAGTAAAAACTGATACATTCTCTAGTTAATTTTATTCATATTTTTTTTTTAATGTTTATGTTAGGAACATTACTACATAAAAAGATTGTATGAAATGGGAAAATAAGACTGCAGTGGATAAGAGCATTCATGTTCATGGACACAACGTTGGACTCAGCGCTCTTTGAAAAGGAGAAGAAAAAAAAAAAAAAAAAAAACACACACCCACATAGATTATATGCCGTCAGTTCAACTGAACAACCACATATTTCATTGTTATGCATAAAACATGTTTACATGTCAACCTACAGCTTTTAGTTGCAGCTGCGTCAGCAAGCCCTCTCTAGGTACCTGCTTTTTAAGTAGTGCATTACTCAAGTCACATGCACAGCATCTTCTATCCCACTAACAGACATCACAACAACTTCTTAAATTGTACATATATAGAAATACAAAAAACTTGGGTTATCTTACAAAGCATTCATTTCATCTATGCATTATGCCTGCAGATATTAGATCAAATGGCCAGATGAATGGCTATAGCTGGAATTCAGATACACCCTTCATCTTTTCCAGCCTTGTGTTTAGGGGTTAAAAGATTTTCTGTGATGCTCTCACCCTACCCGAGCAGAATGCTCTCCCTGGCTGTTCACACCTCCTATAACCTCCGATCCAGCACTTTATTTAGTCTCTCTCAAAACAAATAGAAAGCGGCTCGATCAAAATTTTTCAACAGAGCACGGCAATTATGGAACGACCTCCTGAACACTTTCAAATCTTCCACCAGCCTAAAATCCTTTAAGAGATCCCTCTCTACACATCTCAAAAACACAATGCACATATCTTGGTTAATTATAAACTTATTCTATGTTAAATTTTGTATATGTGTTGTGTAATAATATTCCCTAGTAAAATATTTTACAAATAAATAAAATAAATAAATGTAGGTACTATTGGAGCTGAAGCTCCAAGCCCACACTATTAAATCCAGACATGGCTTGTGTCTATTTCAATCTGCTTCTGTGATGTGCAGTCCATATATATATATATATATATATATATATATAATAAAAAAAAAATAATGTTTTATCCTTGCTGGCCTGGCTAAGCAACATGGGAAACAAAAAAATTAAAGTTAGTAAGCTTATTTGAACAGAACCCACTTTATCACCTTTCTTTAAGTGTATAGTACTGTGGAAAATGTTGGTGCTATATAAATGATAATACCTACAATCATGGCTACCATCCACCCTTGTGGGCCAGGCAGCATTGTTTAAATATGAGGAAAGTGGAGGCATGCAGCATCACGCAACGCCATGCTGCCATGATGTTGACATACTCTGCCTGACCCCTTCACGGTCAGGGGCGTATTAGCCGCGAGGAAAACAAGCCATTTGCCTTGGGCGGCATTTTTCAGGGGGCGGCAAAAAACGCCGCCCCCCCAAATGCCCAGGGCAAATGCCTAGTTAGCCTCGCGGCTAACTGACATCCCGAGCGGGCGGGCGGCGCTGGCAGGCGGGCGGCTGGCGAGGGAGCACTTCCTATGAGCTGACTGCTCAGCTCCCTCGCGCGCCGCAGAGTGAGGCTGGGAGCCGGAAGATGACGTCATATTCCGGCTCCCAGCCTCACTCTGCAGCCGGCGTGCAAGGGAGCTGAGCAGACAGCTCATAGGAAGTGCTCCCTCGCCAGCGCCGCCCGCTCGCCCTGCAGCCACTGGACCACCAGGGAGAGAGACCCCCCCCCAGCACTCCCAAAGGTAAGGAGGCTGGGGGGGGATTTAAATTTAAAAAAAAGTTAATGTGTTTGTGTGTGACTGTGTGTGTGTTTGTGTCTGTGTATGTGTCTGACTGTTTGTGTCCAGTGGCATCACTGGGGGGGGCCAGAGGGGGCCATGGCCCCCCCTAGATCAGGCTGTGCCCCCCTTTGTGCCCCCCCAACTGGAAATGAACTTACTGCTCGCTGGGCTCCCTCCATGCTACTGAGAGCCCAGCCCCTGAGCAGATGGATCCTGCAGGCAGGGGAATTCCCCAGCCTGTAAACATGGAGAGACACTGGAGGGAGGAGGGAAGCAGGCTGTGCTCACTGAAGGGGAGGAGGAACCATTGTCCAGCCTGCAGGAAGTCTCCCCTTTGTTTCTGCTGGGGGAGCAGGAGAGCGGTGCACAGTGAGCACAGCCTGCTTCCTGCTTCCTCCTCCCTCCAGTGTCTGTGCGTGTTTACAGGCAGGGGCTGGGCTCTCAGTAACATGGAGGGAGCCCAGCCAGCAGTAAGTACTGAATGGATCCTCCTCCACAGCCCTAGCACAGGGATGGCCCACATGGAGCCCAAGGGGGCTGATCATATTGTGTATGTTTGTGTATGTATAAAGTGTGACTAAACTGGTGTGCGTGACATTGTGTGTGTATAGTTCAGTAAGAGTGTGTGTTAGTGAGAGTGTGAGACATTGTGTGTGTGTGTATACTAAATAGTGTGTGTTAGTGAGAGTGTAAGATATTGTGTGTGTGTGTATACTGAATAGTGTGTGTTAGTGAGAGTATGTGTATACTGAATAGTGTGTGTTAGTGAGAGTGTGAGACATTGTGTGTGTATACTGAATAGTGTGTGTTAGTGAGAGTGTGAGACATTGTGTGTGTGTGTTAGTGAGAGTGTGAGACATTGATTGTGTGTGTGTATACTGATTAGTGTGTGTTAGTGAGAGTATGTGTATACTGAATAGTGTGTGTTAGTGAGAGTGTGAGACATTGTGTGTGTATACTGAATAGTGTGTGTTAGTGAGAGTGTGAGACATTGTGTGTATACTTAATAGTGTCAGTGACATTGTGTGTATACTTAATAGTGTGTGTCAGTGACGTGTGTATACGTAATAATAATGTGTTAGTGTGTGACATTGTGTGTATACTTAATAATAGTGTGTGTTAGTGAGTGTGTCAGTGACATTGTGTATATACTTAATACGTGTGTTAGTGAGAGTGTGTGACGTGTGTATACTTCAGTAAGTAGTGTATGTTAGAGTGTGTGCGAGTGACGTGTGCGAGTGACTATGCGACCAATTATATTCATAATACATTTGATAGATTATAATGAAAAAAGTTTCTTACAGTGAACCTGTTAGACAGGTTCACTGTAACATTAATTAACGTAAACCCATTACTATAAATTAAATCCCACAATATTATAAATAAAATCCCACCAAATTAATGAAAATATTATCACAGCTATAAATTATATATTTAATGTAAAATGTATCCCAACATGCAAAAATGCATTTCAGGGAGGTGGCTTCACAATTTACTACGCCACTCCCGTGCACATGTGCGGTCACTCCACCTCCCCCTGACATGCTTGCGCTCACTCCCCCCCCCTCCACCAACACACACAGACACACAGATATGCGTACTGGCACATACACACACTCTGTCACATACACACTGACACACAGATACACACACTGAAACACACACAGATACACACACATATTGACATGCACAGAAGTCATACTTTATAGATTTGATTGTGTGTGTGATTTCCGGGATATTATGTAGGATCTGCGGGTGTCAGGGAACCGCATTCAACATGCGAGAGTCTCCCCGAACTACCGGGAGACATGGGATGTCTGGTATTTGGCAGTATGTGTGTATGGATGTATGTATTAAGCACTGTGCGTGTATGGGTGTATGTATTAGGCAATATATGTATTGTGCAATATGTGTGTGCAGATGGATGTATTAGGCAGTGTGTGTGTATGGATGTAAGTATTCAGTGAGTATGTATTAGGCAGTGTGCGTTTATGGGTCTATGTATTAGGCAATATGTGTGTATAAATTGATGGATGGATGTATTAGGCAGTGTGTATGTATGGGTTTGTATGTATTAGGCAATATGTGTGCAGGAGCAGAGAAAACAGAGAGGAGCAGAACAAGCAGAGAAGAGGCAGCGCAGAGCAATTAGAGAGGACAAGAGCAGAGAGGAGCAGAGCAAGTAGAGAGGAGCGGAGCATAGTAAGTAGAGAAAGGCAGAGCAAGTCGAGAGTGGCGGAGCAGAGCAAGCAGAGAGGAGTAAAAGCAGACCATGCAAATAGAAGCACAGCATGCAGAGAGGAGGCAGAGCAGAGCAAGCAAAGAGGAACAGAGCAAGCATAGAGGAGCAAGAGCAAAGGAGGCAGAACAGATCAAGCAGAGAGGAGCAGGTATTGTGGCCGCTGCCTCTGCCACATCTAGGTTCTGAGAAAAGTGAATTAATTGCACTGATTACAGTGAGTGGTGTGAGTGTGACAAAGGTTACTTACTCCTGATTGCAGACAGTGAGTGGTATGACAGTGGCACTTACTCCTGATTGCAGACATTGAGTGGTATGACAGTGGCACTTACTCCTGAGATTGCAGACAGTGTTGTGACAGTGTCACCTTACTTACCAGAGATTGCAAACAGTTTGCAGTGCGGCCCCACATAAGGTGTGAAACCTTACCTACCTGAGAGTGCAATTTGCAGAGGGACTGAGTGAGCGGAGCAGACACTCCAGACAGTGGCACTACTACTGTAAGTAACGTGAACTTTAATTGCAGCTTTTGAGTAAATGATATGCATGTACCCAGGATTCCATATTGTGAGCAAGAGAATGAAACAAGTAATTTTAGTTTGTGTTGGTATAGTATTCACCAACTATAGGTCAGGGCACAAACTTTAGTGCCAACCATTTTTAATTGTTCATGGAAGTGGAGCTAAATCTGCTCTTCTTACAGTAAAAATTCACTTGAATTAGCATTTCAAAATACAACTTTGTGTCACTTTAAAATGCTTAAACTGTAGCGTAGAGAATACACTGTTAAGTGACCATTTTCTATGTATGTGAAATATTGATATAGAAGTGTTAATTTAAATTCCCTTCAAATTGCATGTTGTAAATTATTTTTTTTTAAAAATATATTTTTTTTTAAACTAGTTTTGTAACAATTCTGGCATCATGAGATATTGTTACAATTGCATCTCTAAAGCAGACTTAAGCATATTTATCAAGGTGCTGGAAATCTGAATTTTGTTAACTTTTAAATGTTCTTCACGCGTGTGTGTGTACACACACACACACACACACACACACACACACGTTTTGTAATTGCCCCCCTACTTCTGTCCCCGGCCCCCCATGTGCCCCCCCTAAATATGAATGCTGGAGACGCCACTGTTTGTGTCTGACTGTGTATGTGTATGTGTGTTTGTGTCTGACTGTATGTGTGTGTGTTTGTGTCTGTGTGTGTGTGTCTCTGACTGTGTGTGTGTGTGTTTGTGTATGTGTCTGACTGTGTGTGTGTGTATTTAGAAGGTGGGGCGGGGGGAAGGGTTGGGTGGGGGTGGCGCGGGGGGAGGGGGGCGCCTGAGTTTTGTCCTGCCTACGGCAGCACAAAACCAGGATACACCACTGTTCACGGTATCTCAAGCAGTAACGGAAGAAGCTGTTCTGCGCGGCACTGTGGTGTTAGAGCCTTGAGGCTGGAGCAGCAGTGGCTAGAGAAGCAGCAAATTGTGAGTGTCTGCTTGCAATTTTTTTTAAATTAATGGGTATAACAGGCAAGGTTTTTAGTGAAGAAGAGGATATGCAGGGGTTTTTCTGAAGTATTGGGGGTGCAGTGGTTTTAGTGAAGAAGAGGGGCTGCAGTGTTTTTTGTGAAGAAAGGGGGCTGCAGGGTTTTTGTAGAGGGGGCATGAGTTTTGTAGAAGGGAGGCTGGGCAGTGTTTTTGTAGAGGGGGCAAGGTTTTTTCTGAAGCGGGGTGCAGGGGTTTTTGTGAAGGGGGCTGGACAGGGGTTTAATAGAAGTGTGGGGGACAGGATTTTTTTGTGAAGGAGTGGTGCAGGTTTATTTATTTAGAAGGGGCAGAGGTTTTGTACAGGTTTAAAAATGTGCAATAAATATTTTTAAAAATATGAAAAATATTGTGGGTATTTTTAACATTTTAAAATTGAGAAACATGGGATCCGTACCGGGTGCCACATGCTCTAAGTACGTCCCTGGCTAAAGGTAGATCTGAAACTCTATATACAAATGTGTGTGTGATATATGAAGAGTCTATCTCTACTCCATGCCCATTATACAAAGTCCCTCTGTGTCTTATACACAACAGAATACCATGTACCCCAAAACACACAGGCCATTGTATCCATGCCTCAGCCTGCATGTGAATATGGATTTTTATGTGCTTAAAATCACTAGCTTATAAAAGCATGTGAGGATAGTTTTATACATGGCTGCAAATTATAGATACAGATGAAGGCCAGTCTAATGTTATTTTAATTTTGTAATTGGGCACACAGTAATTTGTAAACTCTAAGCTCAAAAGGCCCTAATCCAGCACTGATGAATTGTACCTAAGAAAGTATCATGAAAGGACATATTAGCAATGGACGGATATAGTGCAAAGCATCCTGGGTCTTCATAAGCCTTCAGCCTCTGAACAATGTAAACAAACCCTCAAGGACCAATGGAAATAATTTAGTTATAACAAGATGAACAGGTGTATTCAGGAGTGATCCTGAAATAATCCCAAGGCATTTGTATGTACCTTTCTAAAGGCATTTCTCTCAACGAGCGGCCAGTAATAGGCTACAGGCTGAAAGCCTCAACAGAAGTTTTCAACCTATAGCTGGCACACAAGGGAAAGGCATCCGCGCTACTGACAGGGCTGGAGGAGGGTGCAGACAAGATTGGTATTGTCAAGAGAAATTGGGAGTTAAAGCAATCTAAAAACATTTAACCACAGAAGTTGAGATGGCACCCGGGAACTCCACACATAACTTCATTGAGATTAAGATGTTATAAAGTCTGAGTGGCCATAATAATGGCAGACAAGAATGGACAGATCCATAAGAAGTGTGTGTGCGCTAACCAGCTGACTGCTTCTCGTTAATGAAGAGAACTTGGCCACGTAAATCAAAGCTACCAATATTCAATGCAACAAGAGGCTCGGATTTAGTTCAATAAAGAGCATCATGGGGTCAATACTCTATTGTCACACACTATTCCATTCTTTAGACCAGGGATAGGCAGCCGTCGGTACTCCAGATGTTGTGGACTATATCCCCCATAATGCTCTTACACCCATAATGCTGGCAAAGTGTCATGGGAGGTGTAGTCCAAAACATCTGGAGTGCCAAAAGTTGTGTATGCCTGCTCTAGACTATTAGAGAGACATTCCAAGAAATGTTGATGCAATTTTACATTTCTTTGTTCAAGAACTTATGGTGCATGGAGTTAGCCCTGCGACAATTTGTGCCGGAAAAGGTGTTTTAACCCTTTCCCTGCGGCAAGAGTAGTAAGGGGCATGAGGGAGGAATGGGCAGAGAAACACTTGAGTGTTAGTAATATAACTTTGGACTCCTAACACTAAAATGGTCCTTTAATGCTTCGTATACTGATGCATTCATTCAGTGCTTCTTTACATGAAGCATTGGATTGGTGGGCAAAGCAATTAGATTTCGACTGAGCACAATTCTTATTGAGGGAGAAGCGGCTGCCAAGATGAGACTATCTACACTCTGGATTAAGGGTAAATTTAATGGCAACATACAGCATGGCAGATCAAAAATATCCTGTAGCAATCTCAGACGTTTGTTCCTGCTACTCATAAGCTTCATCAGTGTCATATTAATAGAGTGCCTCTGAATTCAGACAGACACCAAGAATAAAAAAAAAAAAAAGCAGGTGCATATAGATGTACAGAGAGGATTTACCAGAAAAGCTCATATACTGATTGATGCACCTGTAGTCACGTGAACAAGAGCAAAAGAGGCAGTAAAAGTGCACAGCAGGGGGTTATTGAAGAGAAATTGTAGAGCTATTGTTTCTATACACAAAGAGAAAAAGACAGTTTAGCAAGAATAGGAAAGAAAGAATTACATAATTCTACTTCACACCCCATTAAAGGGTTACTCTAACCAAAAATAAAATGTTTTAAGAACACATTATTTTTGGCAGTAGTAATCGGAACTGGCATAAATAAACCTAAAAACGGGCCTGCAATCCTATGCTGAAGCCAAGTAAACTGATCCTCCTCCAGTGATGTCATTGGGGAGAATGTCCCAGAGTGTGCATGGGTGTAACATTGGGGATTGTGGGGTGGAAATACAGCTTGTTGGCTGGCTAATAATGCAACTGGAGGTGGAGTGACAAAGATGTTAAACTCAGTCAGGGTTATTCACTAAAGTGGGAATTCAATGTAAATTTCAGGTTAAAAGAACAAAACTGGAAATATTCTCGAATTCAGCTATGCTTCCATTTCGGCTCCTTTGTCCTTAAATTTGCAATTCGATTGAATTCTCTTTCTGGTAAAGCAATCCCATCCTCAAGGCACACAGACGGTCCAGGTTTTGTCAGTATCCCCATTTGTACATAACTGGGTAATGCTTAAATAATGGATAGTTGGTGACCCATGAAACTTGGATTGAGAAACACAGATATTTATTATCATTTACATAGCACCAACATAGTCTGCAGAGCTTTACAGTTATTAAAAGGTTGTTTTTTTTTTTAGAGCTGAAGAAGGCCCTGATCATATGAGCTTACAATCTATGAAACAGATGTGAAATTTCAGCTAGTATTTCATTCAACCACAGCATAAAAATGCAACTTAGGTAAATTTATATGATTAAATTATGCAAGGCTGATTCAAAGTGATAAGGATGGAGGCAATTAAATTATGACCGAATGAATGTGTAAGTAATTGAAAAAAGATTCCTGAAGCTATCTAAAACAGATTACATTTGGGCTGACTCACACATCATTAGTATTTCATCAAATTGAACTAAATAAACTACTCATCCAGAATATAGAGCAATAATGGTTCAGTTAATGAATAAGGGCACGGAATAGCACATTTATGCATATCCTTAACCAGTTCATTTGTATCTGCCAATGAAATGATATTTAACCTGGCTTTTTTTTTATTTTTATAAATTTTAAAGCCATTATATCATATGTGAGGCAGTGGGTAACAGTGTTTCAGTAAAATGGCTAGTGACAAGAAAAGAAAAGAAAAGAGATATCAGAAACACAAGATAAAGAATAACACCAATAACAAAGAAAAAATTCCCTAAGCACTTGTAGCAAAAGGTAATTGCTTACTCTGGTATAAAAACTATTCATATACTAATGTACTATAATTTCCTATATTGATTCCATCTATCAGATCATTTTTACACCCACAACATGTACATATGATCCAACCAAAAAGCAGCCTGCAAATTAACTCTGAGCGTTGACAATGTAAAAGATTGCATTTGTAATTCACTTTTACAACATCCAGCCATACCTGGCCATGGAACTCCAGTTTATTAAACAATAAGCACAACATGCATAACATTATCTTATATGTGTAAGTATCTGTACAGAAGATTTTCTAACCTAGAATTTGAGTTTATAATGTTCATTCACTCCAAATATTAAAACTAATTTTTCCTAGTTTGTGGCAAAATTGGAAGTGCTTCAGACCAGGTTTTTTGCCTTCTTTTGGATCAACAGCAACAACATATGTGAGGAAGGCTGAACTTGATGGACACAAGTCTCTTTTCAGCTATGTAACTATAGGAGTAAAAATATTTTGCCACAAAATACAAGTTTAGTAAGATTCCCTTTTAGTGTTTCAAATTACACTGATCTATTCAACAGACCATTATATTAGATAATTGTGGAAACTGCTCTGATCAAACTAATATTATCTAATATATATATATATATATATATATATACATACATACACACACATACACACACACACACACATACATACATACACATACACACAAAGTTGACCACTAAGAACATTTGTGAACAGCTATGGTTTTGGCGCATGTCATACACACTGCCAACATCTGCAGCTATTTATATAATTTAATCAATGCATTAACTAGCACAGTGTATATAGGGTATGGCTGTTTTTGTATGCAGATTTATGTCTCTATATGGTATGCAATGTAATATTTGTATTAATTATAATAGTCTAAAATGTTAAATTTAATCTGGCCAGTGACTCCAAAATGTCACTTTAATACTGAATATTCAAATAAATTGCTCACATTAAAAGAATACATTTAGAGTGGTACCTAAAAAAATGCCTATGCTTATTTTCACATAAAACAATATAATTTTAAAAGGGAACAATGTTTTGCTGGATAAAAATTCAGAAAGCAAAACATTGTAAAAAATGAAACTACTAAAAGTAATATTCTTAGTAGTTAGTATGTACACAAAGTATAAACAGAGCATCAAACATAAGCACAGGAAACAAAGGAATGTAATTTCAGGCAAAGTCAGGTGCAGGTTAAACAAACTAAATCTTGGGTAATACTGTTTTTCAAATCCAGAAAAAACTAAACCAGAGGATTCTGATACAGGTATATTTAATGAGACATACATTGTTATGGGAATGTGTTTACATTTCAACATTGTTAGAAATGTAGCCAAGTCTCTGCTATTTCCACCTGCTGTCTTCCGAATCTCATTTACACAATCAAAGGATGATCGTAACCTTAATTTACAAGAAATAGCCATTTCCTAGCTAGGTGTAATCCCTGGGATAACATCAATAGGAAAGGATACTCAGGTACTTCAAACACAAAACCAGTAATCCACTATGCATTCTATTTTCAGAAATCCACTAAAAGCCACAATTGTCTGCAGAAACATACATTAACTATTTAGGTCCAAAGAAATGAACAACAATAGCATAAACTAACCGGACCGTTATGCATTAACTATTTGGCTCAGAGAATGCACTGCAGCACACCGGGAAAAAAAAATGCTTAGGTGGCAAAGTTATATGAAAACATTAACCATATAAAAATACAAGGAAAGGACTCCTTCAGGTTAAAGTTCAGAGCTTTTCCTGATATTTAATGAAATTTCAAGCGGATCTTGATAAAAAAAAAAAAGGGTTAAACATACACACACATATACATGATCATACAACATACCAATACTCCCATAAACCAAAACAGGAAATGGATGATTTCTATAGACTTTGCCACGGACAAAATACATGCAGGTGTGTGAGACATGTCAATTACATGTATACACACACAATATGTCAGCGCATTGTGATCGCATTCACTATAAAAGCTGCATATTAAAGAGTAAACATCAAATACTATTAAAATCCCAATATATAGCACACTGAATAAAGGGCAGAAAAAATAGGATTTCAAGAAAATAAAATAAATAATAAAGACAAGAACTGTATCGATATACAGTAATTACAGTCTATATCCAAATAAAATTCCACACTTACCGTGAATGTCCCCAGGGTGTGATGTGTATATTCAGATGACGGCATGTGTTGCATTCGGTATATTTCCCAGGTTTGACGTAGAATTTTGGAACGTTCAGCCAGCTTGTGTTTCTCAGTGTTCTGTGCTTCTCACTGCATCAGATCAGTGGATGGAGCTAACACCGTACAGACTGGGACAGCCAATTGAACACTAAGGGGCGACATAGCCAGCCCTAACTATTGGTAACGCCCCTACAACCTGCTGACGAAAGTACTGTGTCGGTAGAGTGTCTGACCATGATTGCATTTAGTAAAATAAGTCGATAAAATAAGTTTCGGGTGAAACTTAGACAGAAGCGAGTTTCTCCAATTTAACACTCTCCTCCCTTCTGAGGTGTCCGAGGTGAGGTACCCCAGACCGGCTGATTGTTGTAAACACACTGGAGAAGGAAGGAGCTTTGTTACTGTATCAATGGAACCACGTGGAGAAGGCGGAGAGCATAGTATTCTCATCCCCACAAGATGATTGGCCGAGGGGATAAATGCTGGTCAAGTGGCTTGCACGTCAGGACCTACCTCTGTCTGCATTCATGCACTATTTTACTTGGTGACCCTCAGATGAAAAGGGTGCTGGTGCGTGATGAGAGGGGGAAGGGCAACTTTACCCCCGCAGTAGGTAGAAAACCAAAGACTAAAGTCAAATACCACTTGTTTTGTGTGTGTCCGTTGCCAGGAGTTACTACATTATTTTGTGATGGATGCTTCAATAGCCTGGCTTCACATTCCATTCGCATTTAGTTTAAATTCCCGCTGAGAGGTCTTACTCCTTATCTTTTTTAACCAGAGGTTCAAAGAAAATAGGTTGTGTCAACCACTGCAGTTTCTGTTCAACAAAAAAAGTAAAATGTATCACAGTCTGGCATTGGTAATATTGTAAATTGATTCACCCTCATAAAACTTTCAAATCGTTTGGTAACATTTTTGAAATGTTAAAGGAACACTATAGTCACCTAAATTACTTTAGCTTAAAAAAAAGCAGTTTTAGTGTATAGATCATTCCCCTGCAATTTCACTGCTCAATTCACTGTCATTTAGGAGTTAAATCACTTTGTTTCAGTTTATGCAGCCCTAGCCACACCTCCCCTGGCTATGATTGACAGAGCCTGCATGGAAAAAAAACTGGTTTCACTTTCAAACAGATGTAATTTACCTTAAATAATTGTATCTCAGTCTCTAAATTGAACTTTAATCACATACAGGAGGCTCTTGCAGGGACCAGCAAGCTATTAACATAGCAGGGGATAAGAAAATCTTAATTAAACAGAACTTGCATTAAAGAAAGCCTAAATAGGGCTCTCTTTACAGGAAGTGTTTATGGAAGGCTGTGCAAGTCACATGCAGGGAGGTGTGACTAGGGTTCATAAATAAAGGGATTTAACTCCTAAATTGCAGAGGATTGAGCAGTGAGGTTGCAGGGGCATGTACTATACACCAAAACTGCTTCATTAAGCTAAAATTGTTCAGGTGACTATAGTGTCCCTTTAAATTATTTCATTTAGATGGTATTGATTTCCTAGTCAAAGCAGCACTGGTAAAACCTGAGGTACTAATCTTAACTATTCTGAGAAAAATCTTGATGACTACAGTTTATCACTGCAATTTCATATTTCTGCTAAAACAAACAGGGTTATCCAATGAGTAGTAGTTGTTGGTAATGCAATAATACTTTTAAATGTAAGGTTATAGTAACTGAACTGGGAGCATAGCTGACTTGGATAATTACTTGAAATTCTCACTTTACCGAATAACTTGACATTCTTCTTGCATATATTTTAAAACTGTATTCATATTAAAATACTTAATGGGGACACTTTGCACAGCACTTCCAATTTTGCTGTCTCCAAACAAATGCAGGTTTCCGATGTAATCATGATATACTTATGTATTTGGGTGTTTCTTTAACTTCAGATCCTGCTAAATTATAAAATGCTATATATCATCCCTTTTTAAGGACTTTTAAAAGGATATAGATACTTGGCATCAATTCAATATTTCTAGGATCGCAAGGATTTCTTCTATAAAACTGAAACTTCTTAACTTATTTCATTTTCAAGTGTTAGCTGTTCAGATAGGTTTGTCAGATCTATGTCACCTACAGAAGTGTATGGAATAATAATGCATAATGTTTGGGCAAGTAAAGGGTAGGCTCCGGAAAAGTATCACAAATTGAAGACACAGATGGTTTTTCAGGAGTACGGAGATTCTACTGATCCCCCTAGAAGGCAAGGGTTTTGAATCCTCTCAACCTAAAGACGAATCTTACAACCAAGCAGACTCTAGATTTGTGAAAAAGATGGTAGAGCAGTTGTTCCAAAACCAGTCCTCAATGCACCGAGATTTAGTTCAGGATTTAGGGATTACCTAGTTGTGTGTAAGGGGTTTTTAGAAAAAAAAAAAAAACACCTTAGACACAACTGGGTAATTCCTAAATCCTGGAGTTGTAAGGGTGCCTTGAGGACTGGTTTAGGAACCACTGTGGTAGAGGATAAGTATTCAGCCTATACTAAATTTAGGGGTGATGCATCCATTCGTCTGCTAGTTGCAGACGGATGACCTTTTTTTCGATCCCAGACTGATCAAAAATTGTTTTTCAGCAGAATAGGCTCTTCCAGGTCACATTGCTGATTTTCTACAACTTTGGCTGCACAAACCGCTCGATAAAGATGCGCATAACCAACTGTGGGTTGAGTGTCCTTACCCTACAGTGCTGAACCAAGTGGCCCATATGGTGAATTAAATTCCAAATTGGTGACATACCTTTAATAAAAATCCATGCAGGATCCCCCTATGGGTAAGGAACAAGTCCAAAACCAGCACGGGACAAGCTACTCAATGTTGCTGGCTTATTAACTCACCTTTCCCTGCTTGCTGATTAGGCTCTATCTAGCCATAATTTGAAAACTCCATACTGTCTATGAATGGGCATAATGAGCAATTATTTGGCTATGCCAATGTAGCAATATCCATATAGAGGTGCAAGGCTACACTATACAAGCTGAATGCCAAGCTTGCTGAATTAGGCATAAATTAATTTAGCCCAGAGCCAATGATCTCTTCATTGGAGACACATTTATGAAATAACCAAATAGGCACATATCTGTCTTCACATTGCTGAATAAGGTCGATCAGCCTGCTTAGGTGCCAGGCCTCCTCTCATTGCTCTTCAATGCCTCCTGTTATTAGCATCATCCCCTCTTTCCAGGGGTCCCACCACAGACGAGGTACATCTACATTCAGAAGCAAAACCAATACATGTAATCAACCTTCCTTTTCTTCTATACATATTATACAAAGACTAATACATCTCAAATACATCTTGTGCCACAATTATCGCATATTACCCAGTATCCCCGGGTCCTGCAGATGGTCCAAGGTTTCCACATCGATTTTGTCTCTGATCCTACTCAGTGAGGTTCTTCAGCTCTGGCTATGAGCAAATCATGTTGACCTGATACATTCAAAGATAATCAACCTTTTTCTCGTCATTGGAAAGACTCAAGCAATTGGATGTTGCATCATGAGATCTTCCTTCTTCCACAGTGACTCCAGGGACCAATTTCACTGGACCTTTTTGTCTTTTGTCTGAGTCAACAGAGATAATGATTCCTTAGTTAGCTCCCCAACTCAGCTTGGTGGTAGACACTTTTCTGCAATGTTGATTGACTACAGGGGCTTAGGCTATACTGCTGTCCTTCTCCCCTCAAACTCTCCACTCCACACACATTATCAGACATTGCTACTTCTCATCACTGCTCTGTGGAGAACTCAACCATGGTTTCCCACCCTTCTGGATATGTCTGTGGATGATCCTTTGCTCTCAATTTCTTCTTTGGGATCCAGACAGCAACTTACATTATCTTCCTCTCCAAGATCATCTTCAACTGGTGGCTTGCCCTGTTTCAGGGGTTCCTGCAATGTCCCATATCTCTTGGATACAGCTCAAAACATACTCTGGGATTTGTGGTCCCCTGGCACCAGAAGATTTGGTCTTGATGATTGGTGAGTCTGGAACAGCTGGTCTTGATTCTTTTATGGCCCCTCTTGTAGGCATTTTACATTTTCCTTCTTCCCTTTTTTCACTAGTGAAGTTGTATTGCACTATTAACATATACCTGTCTGCTATTTTGGCAGCTCATAGTCCCATTGGGGGTTCCTATATTTGTTACAACCCTTCTGTCTGTATCCTCCTTTGGGATATAAGGCTAACCAGTGCTCTCTCTGAAAGTATTGTTATCTGATATGTCATCTTAAGAGGATAAATCTAGAGAATCCACTTTTTATCTTTTTATTTTTTTCTGCCCCATCATCCCAGACAGGGAAAGACAATGATACATTTCTCCATGGGAGAAGGACCAAAGAGAATCTGTACTAACATAGCTATTCACTAACGTGAGAATTCAAGATAAATTTAAAGTGAATTTCATATTTAAAGTCAAAATAGCAGAAATGGAAAAATTCTGTCATCTATGCTTTACTTCAGCTATTCTGGCCTTAAATTTAAAATTTGATTCAAATTCTCACTTTAATAAATAATCCTGTAAATGTTTAATATTTGTAAGACCTCTGAAGGCATTCTGTCTCTGTTGACTTTGAGGAACAATCTTATAAAATGTTTTTCTTTTCATTGATACAGAACTGCAAAATGGGCTGTACACCCAGTAAACCGTGTCTTTGCAACTCAAAAAGGTAATTTTTCTAAATGTAGGAGAGCTGCTCTAAAATAGTTCAGTGTGGTGCTAAAGTGGGTAAACTGCTTTTAACAATTTTCTTGTACACTTATAGAGGCTTAACTTATGTTATTTCTTTTGTTTTGATCATTGGCTCAAGTAAAAGCAGAAAATAAACTTACCTAAAACATTAATATGAAACTCTGCAACCCCCACCACCACAGTTGTTAATGGCCAGTAACTCATTGAATTTTTTAAAAGGGATAGATGGCCAGATAATCACATAAGTTGTAGGTCAGCAACATCTGGACAGGGAGTGGGGGTCAGAGTTGCCTGCCCTAAAATATTGTCAGCAGCCTTTAGGGATGTAGCATCACATTTACTAAAGCTCTACCTTCCAACTCTTGCTGTAGTGAAATAACATAAAAAATAAGGAGTTCATGAACACAGTGTCTGCTGTGTTGTGCCATATGAT